TTTTAAAGGTATCCCATTGTGTTATCCCAAAAGGACTATTCTCAGAGTATCCAGTCAGGAAGACTGCCACAGACTCCTGAATTGACACTGAGACCAGAGGACATTTAGCGGGGTTTAGTTCAACTTGCAAACAATAGTAAGTAGTTTTTTGACATGAATGTCTATTAAGTGCAGTGTTTTTTCAAAGCGTAGCATGGGTCAATGAGAGTTTTGAATTGTTTTGAGTTCATTTAGGTATATGTAATGTAAATAGATATTGTGTTTTATGTGTATAACTATTGTAGTAGCATGCCTCAATAGTAAGAGTTATTAGTATAAAAAATAGTTAAAAGGTCCTTTAAGTTGGTGTACCGTCAGCTAGGCGTGTTTTTTAGTAGTCCTATGACGTGTTTCTGGAAAATAAATTACCTATTACAACTAGATGATCTAAAATATTTAGCTAGAATTACATTAATATAACAACAAAAACTAATGTGTAAATTTAAAAAACTCATAATCTATATATAAAAATTACTACTAATTCATAATAATCATATGGAGTTTTGTAGTTTAACTGGTTAATATGAGGTTTTGAAAGAGTGTTTGGTATTTTGTGTAAGTAAAAAGAATCACAGTACATAAGTCACGTGACTGTGATGTTATGAGAAATATTTAAAATCGAGTAGAATTATTTGTTTTATGAAAATCATGGCTTGTTTTTGCTTAATAATATTAATAGTTACTTGTGTCTTAGGTTATCAGATAATGTATATAGCAGAGTTGGAGTAGAGTTATTTGTTTTTTAAGTAGTTGTCATATGGTGTATGAAAGAGAGCTGAAGTAGAATTATTCGTTTTTTAAGTAGATATCAGATGGTAAGGATATTATTATAATAACCCTGACAGAAGTGTTAAAGTAGATTGTACAAGATAGTCAAAATTTTAGAGTGTGTACGGTGACTGTAGTAGTTAGTAGTTGTAATGGTTATGGTTAGCTGGAGTTGTATATTAAATATGTATGATTCTAGTAGTATCATATTAAAGCATATATACAAATACATATACAAATGCAAATACATTGAAGAAAATACAAATACCCCTATAAATACATTATAGCACACATGTAAACACACACACACACTGATAAACAAGATTATATGTGCATTAATGCAAACACATGAGTATGTATGTATGTATTCACACACGTGCATGCCTACATACACATATATATATATATATATATATATATATATACATACACACACACACACATACATATATATATATACACACACATACACACATATATATATATATATATATATATATATATACATATACATACACATACATACATACACACGTACATACATACACCCTTATGATTATATATACATATATTCTTTTAAGTATCCCTAAATCATTTATATGTATTATATACATTACAATAGCTATTTCACACATTTTTTTGTGTTGAATAGGTGTTGAAGTAATGTTTTAATGATCTAATCTTAGTAAAGTATAGCCTTATAGACATAAATCAGCAAATATAGCTTCTAGAAGTATCAGTATAAATATTAGAATGATAAGCATAAGTGTATTGAAGTGTAGATGATCAAAATGTAGGTGTTTTAATATCCAATTACCCATGTAGTGTCAAGATGACATTCTCATCAGGAACATTAGTTGTCATCAGGGAGTTTCGAAGGTCTGGCGCCTGACCAATGGTCGACACCCTGTAAACATTACTTTGCTAAAATGGAGCACGTGCTCAGAATTTGTAAAACACCAGTATTTTATAATGGGGTGGTATGTCTTAACCTTAATATGTTCTTTTCTTGGTCAATATTGACCAGGGTTTTTGTATATCTGTTTAGGAATGTTAATGTAAACATTCACACAGATATCTTATGACATTTATTCTGTACCATAGACATACAACATAAAGTGATAGTCATATTGGTACATACTTATAAACTTTTACTATAGTTAAAAACTTAGTAGCATTTAGCTAATTAAGAAAAAACATAGACATTTGTCCCCTTATAAATAAATATTGGTACATAAACTTTATCAATAGATATAATTGTGAATAGAATAAAAGAAAGTTAAGTAACAAAAACATTTTTGCTTACCATTCTGAAAGTAAATATAATAGATATAATTGTGAATAGAATAAAAGAAAGTTAAGTAACAAAAACATGTTTGCTTACCATTCTGAAAGTAAATATATAGCTAATAAACTAGAAATAACCAGCTAATTGCCTTGTGGGGGCCACATTACCTCGGTCCCCAAAGACTTGCTTCAGCTCCCAAGGGAGCGTCATAACCCACTCTACAGACTAAGAGTATGTGTTAGAGTGAAAGGCAGTAGTCATGTTAGAAAGATAGCATAAAGAAGGCGGACAGAATTGCACACGATGTTAGAAAGTGTATTAGTGCTGTTAGTTGAACTGACAAAGACTTGGAGAGTTCACTTGATATGAACTTTTCCTTAACTTTTTTCTTTCACTTAACATGAACTCTTCCTCAACTGTCTTTGTCGTCCCTGGGACAAACTAACCTTTTATATAGAATTTCGCTTCTAAACTGCTTGCGGGTTTGTTTTTTCATTAAAAAGTCTTTATTATTAATAAATGTTTAATTTTTTAAAATGGACTAATATTGCGCTTGTGGGTTTATATCTTTTTTTGTAATACTTTTTTGAAAAAAAATTTTTTTTAAATAAAATTGAAAAATGTAACTTACAACATAATTTGGTCTAATATTTGGGGCTTAATGATAAGACTAAATTTGTCTTCTTCTAGCCCCGGTCATGTAATTATTTTTTATATAAGTTACGACTGTAAATTTTTTTTTTATCGGCAAAAAGTGTAAATAAAAAAAAAATAATAATATTAATATAATAATATATTACATATGTGGGAGGACAAGGGTAGCAATGCAAATGAAATATTTATACTATATTTTATTTTACTTTTATATAAAAAAATTTAATCCTTTAAAAAAATATATTCCGCTCTTTTAATCTGGGAGGCTTAATAAGCGCGAATTGGCATGTGCGAACTAGCATAAGTGCTATGCGTTGCAAAAACTGGCAAAAGTGCAACTTGGCATTAGTGTAAATTGGCATAAGAGCGAAATATCAATTTGCGTTATGCCAATATTTACAATTTTATTCGGCGCATTTATGCCACTTTGTACTTATGACAGTTCGCACTTATGCCAATGTTTGCAAATTCTTTTGGCTCACTTTTTCCAGTTCGCTCTTGCGCCAGTTTTTGTAACTGCTTTGCACTTATGCCAGTTTACAATTATGCTAATTCGTATATATGCCAGTTCGTACTTACACCATTCGCACATTAAGCTCGGTTTTAATTTCAAATGCCTTGACATTGCTAAATACCGTGACTCTCTGTAAAGACTAAAAGATAGAAAATAGAATATAACAAAAACATTTGCTAAAAAATTTAATACTTTATAATCTTTTCTTTCGCTGAATATGATCTCTTCCAAAACTTTCTTTGTCGTCCATAACCCACTAAAAACTAACTTTTATATAAGAATTTGCCACGAAATTGCTTGCGGGTTTGTTTAGAATAGTAAATCACATATCAAAATGACAAATCTTTTCATTTTTAAAATCGGCTAATATTGCTTGTGGGTTTGTATTTCTTTTGAAATCTTTTTTTTTAATACTTTTTTTTTGAAAAATTATTTTTTTTAAAAAATGGAAAAAGTAACTTACAAAGTTATGTTAACTTTGTTTAATATTAATATAAAAATATAATACATCTGTGGGAGGACGCAGGTTGCAATGCAAATATTTGTACTTTATGTTATTTTACTTTTATATAAAAAACTTTTATTCTTTTAAAAGAAAAATATTCTGCTCCTTTAATCAGCTCCGTTTCTTTAGGATAAAAAGCTCGACTTAATTACAAATGTCTAGACATTTGTAATTAAGTCGAGCATTGCTAAATATCGTAAAGTCGAGCATTGCTAAATATTGTAACTCTCTTTAAAGACTAAAATGTAGAAAATAAAACATAGCAAAAACATTGGCTAAAAATATAATTTATTTTTGTTCTAAAAAATAGAAACTTTTTTTTTAACTGTAGCCATAGCTACTGCAGCATGGGTAGATGGAAGACTTGTATTTAAAAATGAAAATAGATTACTAATTGATCACAGTAAAGTTAAGAGAGCTAGGGATAAAGTTATGAATAAAGTTGCTAATCAGCTTAACAATTACTGTGCTAAAGAGATTATAGACTGTATATTTTTTGATGGGCGAAAAGATTTGACTAAAGTATTTTTAACTGTAGATTGATCAGACAGCAGTACTCCGCTAAAGTTAGAAGAAAAAATAAAAAAGTTTTGTTCAAGTTAAATAAGAGGAGAAGATGATAAAAAACATGAAGATCTTTAAGACCAAGGATGCCAGTTAACAACACTAAAGCAATTTTTCTCAAAGATCTTATTGATTGAAATGAAGCTTTTGAACCATCATTAACTTGTTGCATAACAACTTGAAATATCAAAGAGTACTTTGTTAAACCAATGATCATACGAAACTAGTGTTGCCACACCCAAGCTGTTATAAGATGTGTAAAACAAGTCACCTAGGATAGAATAGGTTGAATGCTATTTTTCGATTGTCACGAGGAAAGTTTAAAAAATAACTTGGGTTAATTAAAATTTGTTTTTCTAGTTGATTACAATTTGATTTCTAGTTACTAATATGTAAAAATAATCTTAAAAGAAATTTAAAGAGGTCAAGCAAAGGTATTTTATTATATAAAAAAAATAAAGATAAAAGATTACTACAAGATGTTAGAAATGAGCACATTGATAATTTTTGTAATTCTGTTCTACAAGGTCTATTTGTTTTATATAAGTTTTGTTAAATGCACTTTTAAATTATACAAATAAAAAAATCTAGACAAACCAATTTTTCACGCTTATGGTTTGAATCACATTAGAAAACAGAAAAATTATACTATACTAAAAAAAACCCACAATTTTTTAGAGACATTTTGATATTTAATCATTTAATTTTGAACACATTACAATTTTTTAATCATGTTTCGTGAACTTCATGTTTCATAATTCTAAATTTAACTTTTAAAAATTTAGAAATTCCAAAACTTTAAATTAATCTAAAAGAGAATTCTAAAGTAAAATTTATTGAACATAATCATAACTATAAAAGAAACAAAAGTATTAAAAACTTAAATATTAAAATATTATATTAAATACAAAATATAAAATATTATAAGCTTTTATATAAGAAATAGAAATACCTTTTAGGTTTTTACAAGATGTTAAATGGCTTATTGTATTCAATTTGTTGTGGGACGCATTTAGCCACGATAAAGTAAGAGAAGATTTTTCTAAAATAAAAACACCAAAATTATCCTTTATTCAAATTTCAAATAATAATAAAAATTAACAAAGACTGATACAATTAATAATTTAAAAAAAAAACAACTGACCAATCCCCTTTAAATTTTCAAGAAAGTTATTTGAAATATCCAATTTTTCTTCATTTTCCAAACTACAGATATAACGAAATAATATCAAAAAAGAAAAAAACAATAACAACAATATCAATAAAAAATATATATATATATATATATATATATATATATATATATATATATATATATATATATATATATTTATGTATGTATGTATGTATCTATCTATCTATATGTGTATATATATATATATATATATATATATATATATATATATATATATATATATATATATATATATATATATGTTTGTATGTATACAAATACTTGTTGCATTAATTGAATGTTTCAGTTAACAATACCGATTGATTAAAAAGGTGATAGAGTATTGCAACATAAATAATGTATGAGAAAAAAAAGTAACTTAACAAAAGTGCTGTTATTGTATACATAACCATTATGCAAGGTTGCAAAAAATCATGGCATTTAACAACAATCAAGTTTCAAAACAAACACTTACTTTTTATCAGTAAGACAAGTAAGCTCTTTGCTTTTATACATGATTGTCTGAAAACAATAATTTGATACAACTTTTAAACTTGATAAACTAAATTATCAAAAATTAACTAAATTATATAAAATCATTATCAAAAAGACATTGAAAAATCTTAATATTAACAAAATTAAAATATATAGTGAATATGCTAATTAAAGACACATAGTACACATAATTTGTGTTTATGGAAACAACATCTTTCAGATAAATATACTTGAATTCTTTTTGTAAAAAAATTTTTTTTTTTATTAACAGCAAACTTTTGAGTTAATTTAAAGTAAAAAAAAAAGCAAACATTGAAATATTTTATTAGATTTATAAAATATTGCAAACAAAATGTGGAGGTCGAGATAAGGATGGTTTTTTGGTTTTAATATGAGCAATACAAAAATTGGAAATACAAAAATAGCAATATGAAAATAATATAAAATAAATAATATCAATTTTATAAAAATATATTTCATATTTGTTCTTGGGATTTCTAATTAATTTTATAAAGTTGCAACAAATCTTTTTTTGAAAATATTATTTTTAACATACTAGTGCATGTTCACTAGTAGAATCATTGCCAATGCAAAGATTAAAATACATCTAACAATAATATATAATATAAATTTACAAGAAAACAACATTTTTACAAATAAACTCTATTATTTACAATATAAATTAATTTTTTTTTTCTGCATGTGTTCATTGTTTTCTTTTACTTTAAAAAATAAAGAAGCACAGTCATGTGTTTTTATCTTAAAACTATTTCCTCAATTCTGAAACCATGATAAATAGCAAGTGCTACACATTTTGTTCCAAACAACACAAGTTTTCCTTTTTTAAGTACTATTTGATGCTCTTGAGTAATTAATACCCTGCTGCTTATGAGTAGCTTTCTTTTTACGTGTTTGTAGCATATCATAAAATGGATCTCTTGTGATGCTATTCCTAGAATAAAAGAATATGAATAAAAAAAATCATAGCACATAATCTAAGAATAATAAAAATTGATAATTATCAAACTGATTTGGACAATTTTTTTATATTAAAGAAGATATAATTGCCAATTAGTTAAAAACACTGGCAAAAGTTTGATACTGGGTCACAGTTAAAAAAACAACCACTTCAGAACAGGTAAAACATATATATGTGTATGTATATATACATACATACATACATACATACATATACATATATATATATATATATATATATATATATATATATATATATATATATATATATATATATATATATACATATATATACATATATATATATATATATACATATATATATATATATATATATATATATATATATATATATATATATATATATATATATATATGTATATATATATATATATATATATATATATATATATATATATATATATATATATATATATATATATAAACTAAATAGAACTTTTTAACAAAATACAAAAAACCAAACAAAATTTTTTTTTTCATTCAAAAACTATGATATTATAATCATGAGAAATCAAAACTATATATATATATATATATATATATATATATATATATATATATATATATATATATATATATATATATATATATATATATATATATATATATATAGTTTTGATTTCAAAACAAAGCAATATATATATATATATATATATATATATATATATATATATATATATATATATATATATATTTAAAGAGAGAGAGAAAAAATTACTTGATGCTTTTTATCCAATCATCTCTTTCCTCATTAGAGCTGGCACAAATTCTGTATATATCATGATGTCCTGTGTAATATAAAAAAATAATAATTTTCTTCTTAACTTTTTTAATTCAAATCATAAATTATTATAGAATAAGTTGTCAGTAACAACAATTCTTGTGAACCGAATCAAATTATTACAGTAAAACAAGTTGTCAATAACAACAAAAGTTGTCAATAGAATCCTAAATTATTATATAACAAAATAAGTTGTCAATTACAACAAGAACTATTACAATAATAACAAACAGTCAAATAGAAAATAAAATAAACATTGACAATATATTTATTAACTTTAATTTAATTTTAAACATTAAATTTAATTTGTTAACTTCTTGCTTGAATTTTTTTTTTTTTTTTTTTTTTTTTTTGATAAACTTAAAAACTACAAAAAAAAAAAAGCCTAAAACTATAATAATAGTAATAAAAAAATAAAAACCCACCTGAAACAACTTTGCCATCAGACTCAGTTTTGCAAGCCTTTATAATTGATCCCCCTGAAGCAAAGATTTCAAAACAGTACTAAAATTAAAATAAATTCATGTTAAAATTATTGAGTTAACTGTTAAACTAAAATAAATTGTTTCTGAAAATCTGAAAATTCATAATTAACCTTTTTACGAAAATCGTTGTTTTCACGAACTTGCAAATTTTCTAATGGAATGATTCCGGTTGGTTCCTTATCCTAACAAGATAACGTTATAACAAATTTTCAAAAAAATCTCTTAGAAACTAAAAACTTCAAAATGTCAGAATAACAATAATAGTAATGCTTCTAGCAACATTAATTGCAATAAAAACAAACTTAAACAACTAAATTTTTACTAACAAAAGATAATATAAAATTGAAATGAACTAATTACTCCTTTGTTTCTAAAGTAAAACAAGCAATTGTCTTTAAGAATAAAATATCTTGGTTTCCATGTTCTGTGAATACCACCTTAATAATGAAATTTATGAAACATTTATAGTGTTAATAAAAACAATAACAAACACATAGTAATAAAAAACAACACCAATTTTTATAATACAAAAAAAAAATCAACCAACAAAGAATCAAAAGAAAAACCTTCTTTTGTTAGGAAACCCTCTTTTTCTGGATTAAAAAATGTTTGCGTTAGGTCATTACCATCATCACCTGGTATTTCAAAAGGTGTAGAAAGAATATTGTTAAACAAAACCTAAAAAAATCAGCAGATAAAAAAACTTTTTTTTTATAAACCAACATATTACCATAAGGTAATATGTTGTTTGAGGTAGTTTGAGCAGAAAAAAAATATGTGCTAGAAATCAGTATGTAAATGTATGATATCATTTGATCAGTAGATGTAAGATATCATTTAGTAGATGTAAGATATCAATCAGTAGATGTAAAATATCATTTGCTAGCAATCCGTAGTTATGAGTAAAATATCATGAAATTGCAATGAGTAGATGCAACCTCAAAGATAATCAGTTATTAAATAAAAACAAATCTCAGAAATGCAGGAACTATTGACTTTTAATAAAAAATATATTGAGAATTAAGAGCTTCATAAGTACTTAATTTATTTGACATATATATCAAATAAATTAAGTACTTCCTTAATTTATTAACTCTCTTAACTTTATTTTGCTTGTATTTATTATCTTCTACCATTTAATATCTTTATTTTTTTATTCAAATTTCAGCACTACTTTAATATTTTAAAATAACAAAAATTAAAAAAAATTTGTTCAATAAAAACCTCTAAATTTTCTCTTGGAATATCTCCTCCATCATTAATACCCTTATTCATATTTATGAAACCTTCTAACGTGATCTAAAAATTGCAGAAGAGCCTAAATTATCTCACATAAAAGCTTACCAAATAAAGATAATGTTGAAATTAAAAAAAAAGAAGGTAAATTTTGTAAAGCAACTACCTTATCTTTAACGGCAGGATTATGAAGGCTTGTGTTCAGCATTATTACAGAAAAACTTAACACATAACAAGTATCTTAAAAATAAACAAAACATTGCAAAATAACAAATCTTGATTAAATGAATGCTTGTATAAAACCTTATTAATAAAATACTATAACATAAAAGGTGTCTAATTTATGTTAAATTATGTTAGTTTATATTACTGCAAGTAATACACTATTATTGACAAGCATCAGAGTATATAAAAATATGATAAGATAATAATAATCAGGCCTTGTTTTAAATAAAAAAGTGCTTAATGCAGTAGATTAACGCAATATTTGACATCTTAAAATTATCTTTATTTATTTTTTATAGACGTTAAGTGTCTTAACTACCGCAATAAATAAATAACCGCTAACTAGTTCAATTTAACAATTAACGTAAATAACTATAAACGTTTTAAATATAAATTTATTATGAAAAGTTTGTTATGTTATCAATTATTATTTTAATATTAATTTTAGTTCAATATTATTTAGTAAAATAATATATATATATATATATATATATATATATATATATATATATATATATATATATATATATATATATATATATATGTATGTATATATATTTTAATTATTTCTGAAATTTGTTTTTGAATAATTATTGTTTATAAATCGTTATTGAATAAAAAATAATGATGATTTTTTTTATTTTTAAAAATTTCTGGAGTAAACAAAAAATATTAACATTGATAAACAAAAACCCTTGTTAATTATTTAAACAGCGGTTTTGTTTTGACTGGCAAATAATAATTTCGGTTTTTAAATATTTTTTAAATTTATGTTGCTTAGCATTTTAACTTGCGTTATATAAATAATATAAAAAAGTTTCATGTCTGCTTTGAGCATATTTTTGATACGTAGTTTGGAACGCATTCGCCAGGAATTTAATTTATAAATTTTTTACGTTATCGTAAAAAAGTTTTACATTTTAAACAAATCACAAACAAACATAGCTATAGAGAAAAATCGTTTTTAACGATTAAATCTTTTTTTTTTGAATCTTTGGAATTTAAAAAAAAAAATTAAATATAAACTTATATAAGACTTATGTTATGCAAACTCTTTTGTTAATTATTCTTAAAACAAAAAAACTTTAATCGAGTAAACTTAAAAAAATACTCAACTAAAATAATATAAGTATATTTAATTTGAATTGTATCTGTTTATCATAAACGTTCATTAAAATTTGTTCATTAAAAATTAAGTTCCTTAACTTATAAATAAACTCAAAAGTATTTTCATTCTACGTATAATTAAAAAATTCTTTTTTTTTTTTGATTGTAAGCTATTTAACTTGGAATAATAAAATAAAAAAAGAATAAATATGAGGTAATCTTTGATAAGAACAAATTTAATTTATTTATTGAACTATATTTTTATTTATATACCAACTTAAATAAAATATAGTAACATGTTAAAATATTTTAACATGACTTGTGTCATTTATAAACCGTAGGGCAGCTGCCCTTATGGCACCATTAGTTTTGGATAATATTTCATTTTGATTAAGATCACATAACTTACGTTTGATTTTAATAATGTAAGTCTTCTCTTTTTCTGTGATAGTTTCAATTAGAAAAGCATCGGCAAAGTCCCAGAATTTAAAAGTTTTCAAAGTAAATTTTTTGTCCTTCAAGTTACAATCCATATTCAAAATTTAAACAATTTGGAGAGAATAGAAATATATTAGGTTTTTATATACTAGTTTGTCTTATTTTATACAGAAAAATACATAGCCATTAGTAAAAAAATAGAGACTGTCATTAACACTAGAAGCCCCAAGGTAGATCAATTGATCCAAACACGACTTTGACACTTTGCTGAAGCTAAAATTTTAATGTTGATAAAATGATATTTTATGACTTTTATTATTTTATTATTGTTTACTGAAAAGTGAAAAAACTACAAAAAAAACACATTCAGAGATGCGGCTATAAATATTTATACCTAAAAACCCTGAGGTGGATCAATTGATCCATCTTATAGAGAATGTGCATATGCTTAACAATTATAGTCAAATAATTAAGTTTATTTGCAATGTTTACATATATTTGACAAGCTTTACACAAACAGGTTTCATACAATTTGTACATACTGTTGTATCTTTTTTCGTATGTGACGGCGTGACTGCCGAGAGCCGTCACGCCGTCTGGGACAGCAATCCTGATTGGCGCCCTTATTTATACAAATTTCCCTATATTATATATGAAGGACCTTTTTTTTATTCAGATACCTTCTTTTTATTTGGCGGCCCTTGGATATCTGCCACCCGGGACAAGCTGTACCTCGCAACCCCCCCCCCCCTCACGGCGGTACTGCTGTTGATGTCAGATTACTTTGCAATCTGTTTTTATCTGACATCTTAAACGGGTTGATAATTGTGTATTACTCTTGGTAGCTAGTGTGGTATTACTGCTGGCAGCAACTAGGGAGTAATATTTGCTTCTCTTAACTGTTCAGGTAAAGTGTAAAGCAACTTTTGTCTCGAGATTTTTTGTAATAATTTTTAAAAAAATGATCTAAGCATTTACACTGGTCAAGTCCAAAATATTAAAAAAAACAGCTAACGGCTAGCGTCTGCATCCAGATTATGTTGACATTTGTCGACACATTGAATCTAACATATCAATTCCACATTTATTTGCATTGTAATAAAGTTTTCCCTCTAGTTTTTTCTTCCCATCGCTTTACTTAGTCGCCCTTTTATGAATTGTTGATAGTAAAAAAACAGTTTTTTTCTTCTTTTCCTGGTAGACTATCAAGTTCAATGGTTTATTTTAGTAGAAAGTTGTATTGCAAAGTGGAAGTGGATCAAATACTGGAATTTATATATATATATATATATATATATATATATATATATATATATATATATATATATATACATATATATATATATATATATATATATATATATATATATATATATATATATATATGAAAGATGAAAGGAATTTATATTTTTTATATAATTTACATAGGGATTGCAATCCCGGGATCCCGGATCCCGAGATCCCGGACGTTTTTGGGTCCCGAAAATCCCGGGATTCTAAGCACAAAATCCCGGGATTTTCGGGAATATAGCAGGATTGAACTAATTAAATTATTTTGTAAAACAAAATGTTCAAAGTTGGTAACTATACTGAATTATAATGAGTTATATAATGCTGCTTTGCAGGTTCATCCTGTTTATGCTTTATCCTTATGATAAATGGAACAAATTTTTGAATAGACCATGGAGTTCGGGATTTTATCATTGAAAAAAGTTTCACAAACACAAATTAAGGCAGGTTTGTTTGAATATTGTATAAAAAGCAATCGTTAAGTTTGTTGGCAAGACTTCTCGCGTTAAAAAGATAAATTTTAAAATTGTTGAGCAAATTTGTGGTTAAGTGATTGCTTGAGTTTATTAAGTCATTTTGTTCATTTCAAAAAATATTTTTAGAGAATGAAAAAAATAAAAATGAACAAGTAATAAAAAAAAATTATATCTAAAAAAATTTAATGATTACTACATAACAATTCCCTTTGGGATATTTCTAGCGATTTGTATAATTATATTTGTACAATTATCAGTTATTGCAACATTATAATGCCCTTGACAATTAATTCCGCTTGAAGGAATTCTAGTGTGAATACATACAAAATTTGACTGTGGAATGAATCGTTTTGAACGTTTTGAACTGATAACCTTTTTAATGCTTTTGTTGTTTACCGCAATAATATGTTGTTTACTAATGCACCTTAAAAAAATATCCTTCTAAACATGAATGAAAACAGTGAAAAGGGAACATCATTTTTTCTACACAAAAAAGATAAAGACCCAACTTCAGTGTGGTCACATTATTTGAAGTCTGCGGATAATTTGGCAGCAAAATGTAAAAAATGTGGTGTAATTTTGAAAACATTGGGTGGTTCTACAAAAGGCCTTCATACGCACTTATCAACTAAGCATAATTTGCAAGTAACTTCAGCCGACAAAAATTTACCTAGTTCGAGTCAACAGTTGAATGATGCCAGAACTGACGAGAAGCCTCCTACGAAACGAAGAATAACGAGTTACTTTGCATCCGGAAAAAAAACAACCTTAGACGAAACACTGGCTCGAATGACAGCTTTAGATGGGCTAACATTTAATGTATTTATAACATCAAAAGATTTAAGGCAATTACTGATTACCAGTGGTTTCGAAAATTTGCCCAAGTCAGCAAACTCAATTAAAAGGATAGTGGTGAGTTACAGCTTAAATATTAGACAGTTAATTTCCAAAGAAATTTATCAATATAAAGCTTTGGGAACACGATTTTCTCTGAGCTTTGATGAATGGACCTCTACAACAAATAAAAGATACATGAATATTAATGTACATATCCCAAATAAGCACTGGAATTTGGGTCTTATTCGTGTATATGGTTCTATGAATGCTAAGAAATGTATTGATGTTTTAAAAACATGTCTAAAGAAGCATAATGTTAATATTGATACAGACATTGTTGCTATTGTTACGGATGGTCCAAATGTAATGGTTCGTGTGGGAAAAATTATTGAGGCTGAACACCAGTTGTGTTTAGTCCATGGAATTCACCTTGCAGTTTGTGATGTTCTTTATAAAAAAAGTTCTACGCCAATGTCCGACACCGAAGCACCATTGAAGGAAACTCAAGGTATTGTTGATGAAACAGATGATCACGAAGATGAAGAAAATATCGACGAGGAAATGGGATTAGGCTTTCTTCCCCCAACAAATGATGGGATAGCAAATATGGATTTACTCACCAATGAACAAATATCAATGAACTAGTGAAAAAAGCCCGTAAGGTAGTTGTTCTTTTGAAACGATCCCCGACAAAAAAATGATGCAGTCTTGCAAAAATATGTCAAAGAAGAGAAAGGCAGCAAGCTTTCGCTCATTTTGGATTGCAAAACAAGATAGAACTCTCTTCTATCAATGCTAGAGCGTTTCCTTGCTTTAAAAACATGTATACAGAAAGCTTTAATTGACTTAAACCACCCAGTTTCCTTAAACGAAAGTGATTTTGTGGTTCTTTCGGAAATAATAGAAGTACTTGCACCTGTCAAATTAGCAGTAGATGCGTTATGCAGACGAGATGCTAATCTATGCACTGCAGATGCAGTACTTATATTTTTATTCCAGCAGATTGCTCAAAAACAATCTCCCTTTGCTAATAAAATGTTCCAAGCTATAAAAACAAGAATGGAAAAAAGACGATGTGAAGAAATTTCTGGTGTTTTAAAATACCTTCAAAATGCAAAATATGATGCTGTGAATAATGAAACAAATGTCTGCAAAATTTTTGGAGTTCCTCCTAAAACCCTTATTAGGAAGCAAATAAAAAAACTTATTGAGAGACTAGCTGCTTTTAAAAATGATAATTTAAAAAAATCAAGTATTGATGTTGATGAAAATATAATGGCTGTCGTTAGAAATGAAGAATCACAAGTTCGAGCCTCCCTGTCTTTAAGAGAAAAGTTACAAGAACAAATTGCACAAAGCATGAAAGCCATTGAACCAGAAACACAAACTTCAAATTTAATGTCAATCATAAAAAAAGAAATGCATCTGTTTGAAAATGGTGGAAACCGGGGGCATAATTTGGAATTAGTATACCAATATTTGTTATCTATTCCACCAACGAGCATCGAACCTGAGCGGGCATTTTCTGCAGCTGGGTATTTGGGAAGTAAAATAAGGAGTAGGCTAAATGACCAAACCTTAAATGCTCTACTATTGCTCCGGGCATATTTTCAGACAAAAAAAGAAAGTTGGTAAATAAAATATGCATTTAATATGAATTGTTTTTTTGTTTTACATTTATTATTTAGCTACCATTTATTTATAAATATAAAATAAAGATTTTCTTTAATTTTTGTCTCTCAATATTAACAAACAACTTATTATGTTATTTTTTACAAAGTACTTTGTTGCTACAGCAGCTACATCGGTACCCAAATTTAAGAAAATTTATGTTTACAAATTTATTTTGAAATTTTGATTGTTTAGTTACTTTAGTCAAATACACTTTAAATGTTCAAATGTTATTTACATATCCAATTATTTGATGAAGGTTATTCTGTAAAGTCTGTAATCTTAAAACATAACATGGAAGGTACCGTATATATATTTCTGCATTATTTTAAGATCTTTATATACACCTGCTGCCTGTTACACAATTAAAACAATTTAAGGCGCCGTAGAAAATTAATGTAAGTCATTAAAACATAATGAAATTAAATAAAGAATTGATAACATCAAAAAGTATATTCATATATGCAGTATTAAGTTCTGTTTTTTAGCAAATAACTCACATTATATAAAATCCCAGGATACCGGGATCCCGGGATTTTATTTACTTCAATCCCGAAATCCCGGGATCGTAATTCATGCCCGGGATTGCAATCCCTAAATTTACATCAAAATTAACAGTTTTAACTGTTAGTTTCATACATTTAAACAAAAAAATAAATGCATATAAAAATTAAGTTGAATCAATTGATCCACTTTAGGGTTTCTAGGTATATAAAAAACCTGGGGCTTCTATTGTTAAACTAAAACGTGCCTTAGTATTTATTTAAAGGAGTCTGTAATGTGCCCGTGCATAATGAAACCTTCATTATATAAATATATTCAACGTAATTTTAGTGTTATCAGCAGATGTTATAGTCTACTCGTAATTTCTTTACCTTATAATATAACTTGATTTATGAAAAAAAAACTTATTGAGTCGCACGGACAAGAAATTTAACAAATTGTCTTCATTCAAATATTGTGTAAAATTAATTGTTATAAAAAGGTAAGATATATCACGATGAAAAGTTACTACAATTATTTTAAACAAAACTTCTTTTTTGTAATAAATATTTTTACATATCGTTATTCAAAAGTTAATGTAGTTTTTTTAAAAATTAATTACTTCTTTTATGTTACCGCTAATTTAAAAGTTAAAAAATGATAAAAAGTAGCTTAACCAAAACAGCTCTACGTGTACGTAAAAATCACTTAAGGCATTTAAGGCGTAATTCGCTCTAGGCGTAACGCTTTAAAACAAGGCCTGATAATACTAAAAGTAGTATATAAAATAGTAAATATAAACAAAAACAAAAAATATTTGTGCTATAGAAAAATACTACAATTAAAAAAAAAAAAAAAAATTTTATTTAACCTTCAGTTTTAAAAACACCTGGATTTACTGAACAGTATCGAATTGCAAATGCTTCCATCATTCTATCAATCTTTTGTGCTTCACCAGGCAACCGAAAACTCCACAAAAACTCTCTGGAAATTACAATCAATATAACAACTAACATTTTTATAACTTTTCCTTTATTTCTTCCTACATTTTTTATAACTCTTATTTTAGTATTAAAATTAATAATTTAAATAAACAATTGATGTAAATTAATACAACTAAAACAATAAAATACCTCAATGCAGCGTCAAGAGTTTTATTTTCAAAATCATGCAGGGCAACGTATTCTTTCAAAACATTTAAATTGTTCTGTTTACTATAAAACAATAAATATTACAAGTTTTAGCAACTACCTATAATCTATTAACATTAAAGTCTCATTAAGTTATCAACATTAATGTTTCACTATATATACACAAATACTAGTCACTAAATAGATGAAGAAAAAAAATACATAAAATGAACAAAACTTTAATAAATACTTACTGTTCTCCTAAATATTCGCCAATTTTAACTTTGTTTAAACCATCATTTTTAAAAAGAAACTTTGCTATATCTTCAGGTGTGTCATTAATAAGATTGTTTTGGAATAGATACTCAAATCCCTAAAAATATTTTAGTTTATATAGCAAATTTTATTTTACAGAAGTATCAATTATGATAAAATTATTTATAGAAATATTGAAAATTTACTTTTTCTACAGAAATGTTAAATTTTTTACGTCCAACAGCTAACTGCTTTTCAGTTGTTGTAGACAAACAGCTAAAAGTTAAATATATTCAACTTATTTTTCAATATTTTTAAATAAAAGTTGTAAAATAAGTTGTTGTAGACAAACAGCTAAAAGTTAAATATATTCAACTTATTTTTCAATATTTTTAAATAAAAGTTGTAAAATAAGTTGTTGTAGACAAACAGCTAAAAGTTAATATATTCAACTTATTTTTCAATATTTTTAAATAAAAGTTGTAAAATAAGTTGTTGTAGACAAACAGCTAAAAGTTAAATATATTCAACTTATTTTTCAATATTTTTAAATAAAAGTTGTAAAATAAGTTGTTGTAGACAAACAGCTAAAAGTTAATATATTCAACTTATTTTTCAATATTTTTAAATAAAAGTTGTAAAATAAGTTGTTGTAGACAAACAGCTAAAAGTTAATATATTCAACTTATTTTTCAATATTTTTAAATAAAAGTTGTAAAATAAGTTGTTGTAGACAAACAGCTAAAAGTTAATATATTCAACTTATTTTTCAATATTTTTAAATAAAAGTTGTAAAATAAGTTGTTGTAGACAAACAGCTAAAAGTTAATATATTCAACTTATTTTTCAATATTTTTAAATAAAAGTTGTAAAATAAGTTGTTGTAGACAAACAGCTAAAAGTTAATATATTCAACTTATTTTTCAATATTTTTAAATAAAAGTTGTAAAATAAGTTGTTGTAGACAAACAGCTAAAAGTTAATATATTCAACTTATTTTTCAATATTTTTAAATAAAAGTTGTAAAATAAGTTGTTGTAGACAAACAGCTAAAAGTTAATATATTCAACTTATTTTTCAATATTTTTAAATAAAAGTTGTAAAATAAGTTGTTGTAGACAAACAGCTAAAAGTTAATATATTCAACTTATTTTTCAATATTTTTAAATAAAAGTTGTAAAATAAGTTGTTGTAGACAAACAGCTAAAAGTTAATATATTCAACTTATTTTTCAATATTTTTAAATAAAAGTTGTAAAATAAGTTGTTGTAGACAAACAGCTAAAAGTTAATATATTCAACTTATTTTTCAATATTTTTAAATAAAAGTTGTAAAATAAGTTGTTGTAGACAAACAGCTAAAAGTTAAATATATTCAACTTATTTTTCAATATTTTTAAATAAAAGTTGTAAAATAAGTTGTTGTAGACAAACAGCTAAAAGTTAAATATATTCAACTTATTTTTCAATATTTTTAAATAAAAGTTGTAAAATAAGTTGTTGTAGACAAACAGCTAAAAGTTAAATATATTCAACTTATTTTTCAATATTTTTAAATAAAAGTTGTAAAATAAGTTGTTGTAGACAAACAGCTAAAAGTTAAATATATTCAACTTATTTTTCAATATTTTTAAATAACAATAAAAAATAAATAAATAAGGAAAATAAAAAAGTAAAAATAAAATGAAACCAAAATAGAAAAGATTTACTTGCTATCTTGCTGTTCAATTATTTCTAGCTCTTTGGAAATTTCATTAATTTCATCATTAATTTGCTATTGGTAAAAAACAATGATAAAAATGGTATTTATAGCAAAAATTTTGGTAACAATACTAATCATGGTAACAATTGTAATCCAAACTATTTAATATTATTTTATTTTGAATTTTATATTAGACCCAAAAATAAAAAAAGATTAAAAAAAAAAAAAATTAATAACAACCTGAATTTCTTTTAAGACAACATTTTTCCTTTTTTGCAACTCTTGAAGCAGGCTTTTCTCTCTCAAGGTTAGATCTATGAGTAAAATTAACAAATAAATTTTCAAAAAAAAATTAAAATTAAAATTTTTCCTTCAGAAATTAAAAATTTTTTTTTTTTAATTTCTGAAGGGAAAAAAAAAATCTTTTTATGATGAATAAACAAGAACCATCTGATAATATGAATACGCTAATTTAATATTATTATTAGTCAAGTTACGTCATTTTCTAGGCTTTTATATTTTAAAGTAGTTTCTAGGCTTTTCTATATGCGTTTTTTTTTTAATTTTATTTACTAACAACGCGTATTACGGGTTGCTTACTACTAGTATTTATGAGTACAAAAACAATAACATTTATTTTTGCACTCATTTTAATTCTGGGCATAATTTTGTTTAAATCTGATTAGTTTTAAAATAAATAAAAAATCTTTTAGGGATTGATTGGCGAAAATAAAAAAAGCAAAATGACTAAAAAAAAACTAAATTTATCAAAACTTAACTCAATTGAGTTAAATCTTTTTTAAAAAAAGATTTAACTCAATTTTTAAAAAATCACTTAATGTATCAGTAATTTTAAGAAAAATGTATCTGGGTAAATTTTATAAAAACCATGATAAAACATCTGACAAATTTAAGCTGACAAATTTAATCTGACAAATTTATTTTATATTTAATCTGACAAATTTATTTTAATTGAAAAATTGTGCCTGTGCAAGTTCTTTGAAATTACCCCAAATTGAAGTTACCCTTTTGTAGTTTTTCTTTCAATAACAAATCAAACTTTGACATCGGATCTATACATCGTCGCTGCAAAACAAAACTATCTGAAGTCCATTTTTGGCAAAATTAACTTTTTTGGTTTAAATAACTCCTTAGATGCACGAAAGTCATCTCACAAAGTATGGAACCAAATTTGGCTCAACTTTTGCAGCTATTAGTAAAATTCAAATATCTTTGTATTAAAAAAAAAAGAGACATTGTTGCTGCAAAACAAATATCCTAAGTCCATTTTTTGGCAAAAAAAACTTTTATGGTTTAAAATACTTAATGCATATAATAAATAACTGAAAACAAGTAGATTTAGTCAAAAAAATCAAAAGCAGTGATTAAATTTAAAACTATAAATGTCTTTTTCTCAGAACAGCCAAAACTTAAGATAGTCTTGTTTTGCAAAGGCAATTTATTTGTAAATTTGTCATATTTTATATAGTTTAAAGATTATCTTACGTCCATTTGCATTGTTGCTTCTTATAAACTTTAATTTCTAATTTGTTATATGAAAAATGATAACATATTCTATAATTATTTTTAAAAAAATTTTGTTTCAGAAGATTAAACACAGTAATGAATTAAAAACTTTAAATGCCTATTTCTCAGAACAGCAAAAATGGACTTGACATCTTGTAAAAGTCTTGTATTGCAGCGATGACATAATTGAGTGCTTAAGAAAACAACTTTTAAACATTAAATTTAATTTGTTAACTTCTTGCATAATTTTTTTTTTTTTTGATAAATTTTTTGATGAACTACAAAAAAAAAAAAAGCCTAAAACTATAATAATAATAATAATAAAACTGTTGTTATGAAATCAAGCTTGCAAAATAAAGTCGCACAATTAACCAATTTTTATTTTACCAAATCTGGCATCCAATATTTTTTTTAAAAATATCATTTTATAGAATGCCATTACAGTAAACAATTTTGAGTAATAGTTAATAGAGAAACAATAACAAATTATAATAAAGTCAATAAAAACTCGTTTTCAATCAAATTTGGTGAAAATGAGCTTTTAATTTAAGTTTTTACATGTTTTACTAGATATTTCACCCTTAAATTATCCGAACACTCATCAGGATATTATAAATAACTATTGTGCTGATGAAAATGTTACTTATTTCTAAATAAGTTACATTAGATTTAAAAGGATTGTATTACCATTTAACGTTTTTTTAAATTGTCGTCAGGTCAGTGTCAATTGTTAAATTGTGTCTATATCTATAAACAGTTTCTGGATTTTAGAAACAGAACTTAAACTACTTATGACCATTAAATACTTTAGTTTACTGCTTGAAAAAATTTTAGATTAAGTTAAATACTTTAGAAGAAATCTAGATAAAGTTAACTGTAAGATTTTTAAAATACTTAAAGAGAAAATAAATAAAAATGTCTAATTATGTCAATTTAAGATAAATTCGACATCTTTCAAAACCCATTAAATTTTTTAATTTGATGAAACATCACTTAATTTTTTTTTTTTAAATAGTAAAAAAAGCATTTTTAATACCAGTTATGAGATTTTAATACTAAGTTAAATCATGTATAAAAAAAAATGAAAAAAAATAAAAAAATCAAAATGAATATATAAAAAGAAATTATCTAACTAAATATTTAAAATTAAATACCAAAATTTTTAAGAAATCTTTTACATGACAAATAATGTAGCTATCAACAGTACAGAAAACCAATTACAGTTAATTACTCCTGTATGACACAAATAATAGTAAATGACAAGCAACAAACATGAAATGGGCTATTTTATAGTTATTTTGATGGTCAATAGTTATTTTGAGTCATATTTATTTTGAGGGTCAAGATAAGTGAACTTTGAAAAAAAAAATTTGTTGAAATACATAAAACAAAGAGGTAGCAAATTTAAATATATATTAAAAAAAAGTAAAAAAACCCAAAAGGTTTATATGCAAGTTGCTCCTTTTTGACATTCCACTGAAGTGTACTTCAACCATGATATTTTATTTATGCTACTTAGAGTACTAGAATTGCATAACAAGATCTCACAGATAAAAGACTTTAATAATATATATGTCATCAAATGGCCAAGGGTGACACTACAACTAAGTAGGCTACTTGTTTATTTTTGTTACATGCTCAATACTCACTTTACACTCTCAACTCAACAACTAAAACTGCTGTTGGAAGAAACAATTGAGCAATTATACTAGCGGCATGGCAAGGTTTAACATGATTTTATGAAGAAAGCTCTCTACAACTACACTGCTACAGCATATGACAGCATATATATCTAGTCATGGTCATATATAAATAACTAACATCTAAACTTATAAACAAAATTACTAAAAAATAATAATTTAGTATCAAAAATGAAACAGCAAACAAATAAAAACCTACCTTTTTTTGTCATATCTGCAACTTTTATTTTCTTTACACATTTATTTATACATCATAAAAAAATATTACTCTAAAAAAATGTAGCTAATAGCATATATATATAAATATATATATATATAAATATATATATATATATATATATATATATATATATATAAATATCTATACACATATATATATATATATATATATATATATATATATATTATACATATACATATATATAAATATATATATATATATATATATATATATATATATATATATTATTATTACTATTTATATATATATATATATATATATATATATATATATATATATATATATATATATATATATATATATATATATATATATATATATATATATAAATAGTATTGCGTACTAAGGTAAGCAATTTGACGTCATACTGAAATAGCCTGCTGCTGGGGGCTTCAGTACATACATCGACTGACAAATAGCCTGACTCGCAGTGGAGTGCTGCTACATCGACTGAGGGTTTGGGATGGGGAAGCAATCGTTACATTCATCATTCTTCGTTTTTTCTTCTTTTTCAAAAAAAATGGTATAGCATTATATATATACACACACACACACATCTTTACTCATATTGATTGCTTATTGCTAGAATAAATTATTGATAAACGTTTTTTATTCTTTTTTTATCATTTTCTAAAAATTCATGTGCAGGCTAGGGTGTATCATACTATTTTTTTCTTCCAGACCCTGTATTTTAAGATGCTTTAAACTTAGATGAACAACTCTGAAATATTAAAATACTAAATAAGAAACATTACTAAATTTTGTATTTTTGAAAATGAGTTATTTCTAAGTTGAGATAGGATTCACTCATATTCACAAGGATTCACTCATATTCACAAAAAAATTTCTAACAAGAGCAAATTTTTGCTTAAGGTTGTATATTTTCAAGTATTTTTGGATTCAATTTTATGACAATAAAATGTGACGAAGAATAATATCATAAAAATATTGAGATTTCATTTTATTTTTCTCTTTAAAGTTTTTTTTGCATTAAATCTAATACGAAAAAATATTTGAAAAATAAATAATTATGTCAGAAAGTTTTTAGTAAGATTGTTTGTTAACAAGATTGACCAGAGAGTTTACTAAATCTGCTGAAATACATCATTTTAATTTAAAAATAATAAAAAAATCCAAAATGATTAAGCTAATGGCTAATCCTGATTAAAAATTTACTTTTTGTGTAACTTAAGCCAAAATAATCATATATTAATAATAATTGACTTAGAAGTTTTTAAATTTTTTTTTTTAATGTTTTTTTTTAATTAGCTTTAATTTTTATTAAAATTTTCTTTTACTTTCTTACAATGGGGTACAAATCTTAGGTTTGACAATATTAAAGAATTTTTTCAATTTTTTTTTCTATCTTTTAACAAAAAAAATTTACATTTTTAATCTTTGTCATTAAGATAAAATCTTTCTTTGACCTATTAGTAGACATTAGATTAATTAGTAGATAAATGTATTAGTAAGTACTATTAACTTATAAAACCATTCCATTTTTCCTCTGAAAAAACTTAACTTACTACTTCCGTTACCTGTTTTACTTTTCTACCTGTGTTTGATATAAAATCGAAACCACGTATACCTAAACCACATAGGCATGTATTTTCCAGTATGAATAATCCAACAAAAAAATGTATTTTATAAATGAGTCAGTTATGAGCTTGCATGGAGTTAATTATGAGCATGCAAATTAGGAGTATGCATACTGGAAATATTAGAAATTCAGAGTATCCCATCAGGACGATTGCCACAGACTTCTGCATTGACACGGAGACCAGAGGACACTTAGTGGGGTTCAGTACAACTTGCATACAATTGTAAGTAATTTTTTTGACACGAGTACTGATAAGTGCAGTTGTTTGTTGCAAAATAACAAGGGTCAGTGAGAATTGTAAACTGTTTTAGGTTCTTATAGCTGTGTATGTAATGTAAAAACATAAATATTACCATAAATTTATTTCATCATTACATTGATGTTCTTATATCAACAGGTAATAATTTGGCAATTACAATTCAGTATATCAAACAATTAACCAAGTTTAGCCACAAATCTATCTTTATAATTTAAATTTGCTTTTCCCCTAGCAACTAGATTAACCATATTACAATCATCTATCAGTGTTGCAGTAATTTAATGTTATATATGCGTTACAGGATACTTGAATAAAGAATTGGCTTGGATCCACTTATCAATCAATATTATGTAAATACCTTTCATTAAGTATTTTAATGTATCCTTTCCTTGCTTTTATTGTTTGTTTCTTATAAAAACATTGATATAAAATATATGTACAAATATTTGAAAAATGTGTGGATGCAACACAATATCTGTGGCTAGAATTGCAGAACCTATTTGTAAAAAATAACCAAAACCATCTATGGTTAGAATCGAAGCTAATTGTAAGAAATAACTATAAATATCTGTGGTTAGGATTGCAGCTCATTGCAAAAAATAACCATAAATATCTGTAGTTAGAATTAAAGCTAATTGTAAAAAATAATAATAAACATATGTGGTAAAAATTGAAGCTAATTGTAAAAAATATCGATAAATAACTGTGGTTAGGATAGAGGCTAATTATAAAAATATCCATAAAGATGTAAATAATTTAAAACCACAATTCCTAGTAGTTTAATTTTTTTTTTTCCTTCCATTATTTTGTTTAAATTTAGTTAAGTTTAAAATCATTGCACACTTGTTTTCTATATACCATCTTTTTGTAAAAATGTTTTAAAAAAATCTTATAACATGACACACCTTAGCGTGCAACCAGAAAATTGAATACTCAAAAAATCTAATTCTATCTACTGCTGCATATTCAATTCGACATGGTGCTAATATATTCTGGAAATAAAAAATAATAACATAAAGTATTGTACACTTACATTGTCTATCTGTAAATAATTCAGTCATTAAATGCAAACTTTAATTTCCAAAAAAGGAAATAAGAAAAATGGTATAATTAAAAAAAAAAAAATTATAAAATTCTAAAAACATAATTACAAAACTAAAAAATTTTTTTCTCACTGCTTTTAACAGTATATTTTTTTACAGAATATTTTAGTAAAAATTATAGGTATATACTTATTTTATATATTGGATTAAAGGTATGCATACTGTCACTGATGATGCTTTATGGAAATAACCATTTTCTGGGGTTTCAGTAAATATATAAACTGAATGTTAAGGTAGATTGAATAAAAGTGAAATTACATAAAAGTTTTAAAATTAATAATCATTTTAAATTAAAATAAACTAGATTTTATTGCAAAAAAGGACGAGTGCATATTTTTTTATTTTTCAACACAAATTATTAATATTTTAATTTATTAGTTTATTAACTTTCAGATTGATTCGAAACAAATATTTGCTTCCCAAATGAAACCCTACAAATGGTTACTTCAATATGATGTGATGTTTCAAAGGTGGGAGGGGAAGGGTGGGTGCAACTAAGTATAAAGATAAATAGTTTGCATCAATTACATTTTTATTTAACAAAAATACAAAATCAGCATTCATTTCTTCTTTTAAATAGTTTAAAAAGTTTTCCACTAATGAAAATAATAAAATATCTATAAAAAAATTATAAAAAATAAAATAAAAATTATTATTAAAAACACTTCAGGTTTTAACATTATCTCACAAAAACCTTTTGAGAAAATACTTATATCTTTGACATTATCTCACAAAAATATTATGAAACAAGTAATATATAGTATTTGATAGCAATAAATATTATATTACAACATCGTGTCTTTGACTTTCCAGTGATTAATGATTACAACCAGACCTAAAAAATCAATGATTACAAATAAAATTTTTTTGTGTTATGTTGAAAAATATTAAAAGCTGTAATTTAAATTATTAGAGGACACACACAGAAGACAAACAATGCAGAAGTGTCTTCTGCATTGTCCTCTGTGTAAGTCATAGGTAGTACATTTGTCAGGTTGTTTTTCTGTAAAGTTGTCTAGGTTGTCAAGATTTGTTTAAGTTAAAAGACAGAAAGAAAAAAAATAAAAAGTTAACAACTGATTAGACTTCTAAATAGTAGTTGCCACCTGAAATTAGTGACATTGGTAAGGTGAAGTTATACTTAGTTCCACTAAAATAAGCTCTCATTTATTTCCCTTTTTGCTTATGCCAATTTTTTCAAACATGTCATATTTTTTTTCTTACATCAGTCCTTTTTTTTTTAATTAACTTTTTAAATAAGCTACAATTAAAAAATTTTTTTTCACGAAATAAAAAAGAATAAAGAAGAAATTGAAAGTTTATAGGAAGTATAACAATTATTAAATCAAAAAATGAATAAACAAAATGATTTAAAATTAATTAACCTTAACAGTGCTGTCTACAGAACCAGAAAACAACCTTCCACGACAAACAGCTAAAGATGTTACACTACCTTGATGGCGAAACAATGTCTGGACACACTGTAAATTATCTAAACTCCAAACCTATTTTTAAAAAATTAGTAAGTAAATAAAATGCCTTGTAAATATAAAAATTTTGTATTTTAATAGATTTATATTAATTTATCATTTATTAAAAATGATAATTTAATATAAATGTCATTGATTGATTTAAATTTGATTTAAAAAGATTTTTAAATTTGAAATGAGAGTGTAATTATGTAAATTGCAGAATTAGCAAATATCAGCAATTAATGTTCTTAGTAACATTTTATGACATATTAATCTTGTTAGTAACATTTTATGACATATTAATCTTGTTAGTAATATTTTTGCTTTGGAATTGTTGTTTCATGCCATTAACACAAGAGATGTATTGTTTTGTTTTAAAAGTAATTTCAAAAAAATAACAAGTTTATAATATTAATTTTACTTAAAATACAAATGAAATTTTTAGTATAAACTAAAAAATTTATTACAATTATAAATAGATATGAAACTCATTTGTTTTTAAATAATGTAACTTATAAAAATCAACAAGGCAATAAATATTGTAAAAATTTATCAAAAATCAGAACTAAATAAAAGCTAAGTATATTTATTATTTTTTTCAAAAAAATTCTTAACAAGGCTGTAAGCAACAACTTTATAATTTTAACTTGCTGATTTTAACTGATAGAGCAAGTAAGTGGTTGACAGAAGACTTTTAATTTAAACACAAAGAATATTTATTTGGCTTTAGTGCATACATCGACTATCTTATAGCCTGCTGCTACAAGGGAGTGCTGCTACATTGAATGAGGATTTGGCATAGCGCAGCAATCTTTTTCTTTTATTATTTCAATTAAAATTTCTAATGTTAAAAAACTCTCCACTAAAAAGAGCGTAACAAGTGAAAAAATAAAATTATTTTAGAGCGCTAAACTATAGCTTTACCTAAAATTACATTGTATTTGTTAAGAATTTTTTATTTTTTATCTAGGTTTACCCATAGTTCTTCATTGCCTTGTAGGACAATGATTTTTGATTTAATTTACACATTCTATGTCACATGTCTTAAATAAATACAGTAAAAAATTAATTCTGGCATTCCAGATTGAAATATCATAATTCTAGCCGGAACCGGAATAACCAAAAAGTCGCAAATTGCGGCCGGAACAGAATTCCGGTACATCCCTAAAAAATATACAAAATTAAAAATTAGTTACTCTGAGAGATCCATCATAAGATGCACTGATCACACGAGTTGCATCAACCAATGTCATTAAAACCAAATCATAAACGGTTCCAACATGACCTAAGCAAAAAACACAAATTATTGTAAAAGTAAATAAAAAATTAAAAAGTAAATTAGAAAAGAAAATTTTTATTTTTGGTTATTGAAGTTTTACTAAACACAATTATGCTGGAAACTTTTGGATTTTTTTTTTTTTTTTTTTTTACATATTTATTTAAAAATAATTTCAATTTTTTTTAGCATTAACTTGAGCTTTCTGGATACATTTTACACAGCATTATAATATTTCCTAGACAATTTGACAAAATTTTGTAAAATGCTATTAGTATAAAAATTTTGATCCATAAAACAATAATAATACTAACATAAAACTGCCAGTTAGAATGGAAACTTATTAATGGATCATCACCCCTTTTCTATGATTACTTAGGAAACTTTTTGCCTACATAATATTTATAGTTGTTTAGAAACTGATTTTTAGGTGCAGGGTCTATTAAACAAATAAACAAAAATTTGTTAAAAAAAAAAAAAAAAAATACTAACAGTTGTTTACAGATTTAAAGATTGATAAAAAATATTATCAAGAAAATTTGTTAAACTTTGATTAAACATTTAAACAAAACTTTAATTTTTATTATTATTATTGTTGTAGCCATAAAATATACATACAATATATACAGCGAACAGGGAAAACACCCTACTATAAACGACCAGTTTTATAAATATTTGTTCCGAATTTTATCCTCAACTAGTGATCTAATCTAATTAAAAAAAAAAGTTAAGTATAAAGTTACTTGCTCGGGTAGTTCATTCCAGTATTTTGGTGATCTATTATAAAGTTGGTTGTGTCTTGGAAGACAGTTTGGAACATATTAACGTTTTATTTTAAGATGGCAAACAATCAGTTAATAAATGTTGGTTGATATAAATTATTGATTATATCAAATTAATGTATTAGTTTTAAAATTTGAATAAGATTGCATCGTAGGTGCCAAAACTTAAGTGATGGTAGATTTAGTCTTTTAAGTCTTTGGTAGTTTTGAAGATTTCTTAAGCTTTAAACCCATCTTGTTGCTTTACGTTAACCAAAGCTATGCCAGTTTTTAAAAACAGGGCCCAAACAGACACTGCATATTCAAGGTGTGGTAAACATTTTATATAATTTGAGAGCCATTTTTTCATCAATGATGGTAAATGTCTTTTTTAGCATACCAAGAGTTTGTAAAGATTTGGAGATAACTGATTGAATATGTGTGTTCCACTTGAGGTTAGATGTAAAAATGACTCCTAAATTGTGCTCTTTAGTAGAGTTTCTTAGGGTTTTATTTCAATTTAAAACCAAATTAGTTAAAAAATTACAACCCCTTAAGATCCATGGTTCTATTAAGGATGTGATTGGGATCAAGCTTTACCTCTTAAATGAATTTTTGCAAAATTATTTTTATCAGTTACTACCTTAATAAATAATTTTTAATAAATAATTTTTATCAGTTACTTTATAAGTACAGGGAATCCCTTTAAACTTTATTATTGGTTGATTCTTATAGAATTTTCTTGATAACATTAACTTTATTTACAAAACAGAACTATGGCACACTTATAAAAATTAAAAAACCTGTTAATTTTGCAACTGATTTGTAGGTCTTGACATCCCATATCTAAAAAAAAAATACTTTGTTTAAACATTGCATAACTAATACAAACAAAAACAATTTAACTCTATTTAAACATTCTGTACTAAGTTCAACATAAATTTTGAAAACAAAATAGAAAAAATTTGAACTCAATGATACTATCAAAAAACAAAAAAAACATTGTACAAGTATTGAAAACCATTACATTTTCAGATATTTAAAAAAAATACGTATCAAAATTTTCAAAATTGTATTTCCTTAGAAAACTTCACAAAACTATATATTAATGAATGCACTTGTTAAAAAATCAGTATATATTTTATGCATTTTTTTTAACTTTTAATATTGATTCTTCAACAAAAAACTTAGTAAAAAATTTAGTAATAAAAGTTTATTTTTTTTAACAATTTAAATGTAAATAACTTAAACATATTTTAAAATGATAAAAGTTGCAAAAGGTTTTTCCTTATTTATATATCTTATTGAAACAGATGTAAAGAACATTATAAAAAAAAATCAAGAGTTGAAATTTTACAAAAGCAAAGTTTCATTTAAAACAAAAAGTCAAAAAACTTTTTGCTACCTGACAAAAATGTGTTTCACTCATAATAATTATATTGAAGATAATATTGATGATAGATATTGTGGATCATGGTTTCAATATAGAAATAAACTATAGCAGTCTTCTCCATTTAACCAGCGCTTTCGCTTTTGCTCAAGTTATTTCACGCTCGCCCATACGGCCGCAAAAACTTTGACGAGCGCCTAAAAAAGCGCTTGCCAAAAAAGTAAAAGCATTTTGTTTTGAATTGTTGATTTGTTCAACTATTATGAAAAAAGGCTTTTTTTATTTATTTTCTCTATTATTTATTCAAAGCATTATTTTCTCTATTTTGATTTTAATTTAAATAGCAGGAAAAAAAAAAAGAATCATTAAAATTGCGCCGACTAATTTAAAAAATGACCATCTTGCCAGCGCTTTTTTGTGCGCTGGCATTAAATTTCAAAAGGAGAAGACTTTTATAGCCAATCTACTATTTGACACACTTTTACCATTTGTCAAAAAAAAGTTTTTTTAGAGATTTTTAAAGTTTGGCATTTTCTCTCTGTGACTTTTAATACTTAGTAACAAGTCAGAACTTTTTTATCAGCTATAAATAATTGATCTAAGGATCAATACTATCAGAGAATACTGGCAATATTTTATTTACACAAATGTATTGAATAGACATACTTGCTTGAGAACAAACTCAACTCTTTTATAACGTGGTTTCTATATGCAAAATAAAATGTTTTTAACCATTTTGCTAACCTTAATAACATTGGTTAGATGTTTTACACAGCATCTAATCAAGTTAGATGTTGTAGTAGTTAGGTGCATCATCATGAACAATGTAAAAGTACTAGTAATGGAAAATTTTATAAAGTCTGCCTTTAGTGTGTTTCTTCTATTTTTATGTTTTTTCAAAGCATTGTATTCAAACAAGTTTGTACTTTTCTTTATTTTGACTGGAAGACATTTAATGACATCTCCTAATAACCAAACCTCAGTTTTTTGATCTCACAACATTATCACTTTTCATTTATAAAAAAAAAACATAATACTATTAATTATGAAGTAAAAGATATTAACAAATGAAACAAAATTACATTCAACTTTTGCACTAACAAAACACTTATGATCAGCTGGACCTGGTTTTTTTCAACTTAGCCCAGTGTAATCAACTAAACTCATTCAACATAAAGCATGCGTTTGATAAATTTGGAACAATGAATTTCGTTTTAAAACTTGTCACTAACACATTTTTAAATTATTTTTATGTAATTACAATAAGTAATGATAGTATTAATTAAAAACATCAACAAAAGAGTCAAAATATTTCTCTTAATACAAATGTCATTGAAACAGTCAGAAAAACCTTTAAAAAAAAAAGCACAACTATCTACAAAATCATTCTGCATTGTTACTTTCAATTGCTAAAGCATCTAAATCTAGCACAACTACTGTTTATATGCTCATAAAACAATACAAGAGCTCTCTATCTATTAAACAAGCAGAAGGATCTAGAGGAAAAAGAGGCTTTAAGAATAAGAAAGCAGCAATTAGTATTCGACAATCATTCACGCAAAAACCTGGCTTATCGAACAGAGAACAAGCCAAAAGGTACAAAGTTTTAGAGTTTTTTGTCAGGAAAATTAAAATTTTTTACAATTTCTAGTCTTATTGACCAACTTTAAATAACCAAACTGATCAGATAAGTAATCACTGACTGCTAAAATTCAAGCCCGAAAACTTTATGACAAAGTGCTTACAAAATAAAATTTACATATTTATGGATAAGGAAACATACATCATATGTGACTTCAAACAGCTCCTAGGTCCAAAATTTTACACTTTAATTGTTCGTGGAGATGTCAGCAACAATTTCAAGTATAAATCATTGGATAAATTTGGTAAGAAACTTCTCTTGTGGCAAGCTATATACAGTTGCGATTTGAGATCTCGAGCTTTTGTCACATTATCAACTTTAAAGTCCGATGTTTACAAAATTTTTTTATTAAAATAAAAAACATTTTTATAATCTTCATGTTCCTAAAATTAAAAAAAATATATTGAAGTTTTTGAAGTTTAATTATTTAATTTTTTTTTTAATGTTTCATTGTTCTGAATTTATCGATCACATGCTTTAAATCATGTGATCACGTCAAAATTACAAAATTTTCTGAAATTTCAAAGCCACTAAAAAATATTCTTGCACGTATTAATTTAGATAATAAAAAAGTTTTAACTGAAAATGGTTAAAGACACAAAAATGTTTTGATGTCAGGCATTTAAAAGCTACATATAAAATGCTTTGTTCAAACCCTTGTGTAGGGAGATTCGCATCCTGAAACTTTTTTAGTTTCAGGATGCGAATTTTTCCTATTTCCTAAAAAAGTACTTTTTTACGAAATAGAGAAAATATTAGTTTTAGTATCAGAGCCAAATTTTTTCAAACCTCAATACCAGCTTTCTTAAACTTAGGTTCACACAAAAAGATCAAGATACTTTTAAACTCTATTTATTTACTCTACCCACCTAATAATAACTTCAAACATTAAATTTTTCATTATAGCAACTTGAATCAACTTTGAGCTATATCTTTAAATTAAAAAAAAAAAAACAGTTATTCCTACATTGATATAGTTTTCATAAGTTCCACAAATGATATATTCTCTAGAAACAACTAATGAATATACACTTCCACCTTGTGTTTGTATAACTCGAATTTGTTCTAATGTTTTTAAATCCCAAATCTAAAAAGGAAATTTTAAAAATTAAAGTAGTTTGAATTGACAACTTATCTAGTCAAGAAATAAGCAAAAGGATCTATTCTGCATACTTCACATAACCTCAAAATTTTACACCTAAAAGTCATCTTAACTATAGATGCAAAATAAAATAAAATGAAATATACAAAAATATAATAAAACAAAATATACAAAATAAAATTCTTTTATTTTATTTTATTAATTTTATTAATTTCTTTATATTTATTATATTCTTTAATTTTATAATTTCTTTACAAAAATATAATAAAACAAAACAAAATTCTTTTCTTTTATTACAATTGTTTTTAGTAAAAACTAAAAGATTATACTGATTTGATATTTTGAAGATGGAGAACGGTACTAAAACTAAAAGTATCTTACAGTACCGAAACGTACTAAATGAAATAACATGGTAGTATTGGTAGGAAGTACCGTGAAAGTTGCAGCTACTTCAGCTACAACTGCTACAGATAACTAACTACATATTAAAAAAAAACATATTATTATACTAAATTTCTACAATGTGTGTGAAACCAGTAATAAAAGAGCAAAACTTAAGGTCATTCATCAACTAAGTCATGCGATTCTTAAAAACTTTGGACCCTATACCCCTCTCCCACCTTCCCTCTCACCTCCTCAAGACAAAAAATAAATTTAATAATTTGCTTTTTTTAAAAAAAAATTAATAAATAGGAGTTACTTTAAAAATTGAAAAACTAACTTTTATGGCTTCAAATGAACCACTGTAAAGATTGTTTTCTGTAGTATATAGCGCTCTTATCCAATGGTTAAGACCACCAAGTGCTTGACGAAACTTTAAGGCTCCAATGTCCCAAACCTAAAACCAAAAATACTTGGTGCACAGAAGTAGTAATTAATGTTGCTTTTCGTTACTCCAACTTTCTCACAACTTATGAAAAAGAAAAAAATAACAAAAACAATAATAAAAAAGTGATGCAAGTTACCTTGATTGATTTGAATGAACCACTAAAAAGCATTCCATTTCCAACAGCCAATGTACATATAGGATTTTCATCAGCAGAAAAATTTTCAATTAACTTTAAACTTTCAATATCAAAAACCTAGTAGTTTACAATAAAAGTCAACTATCTACTATGAATATTATTTCAAAACTAAATTATATGCTCAATATGCAATCAGTACTCACACTTATTGTACAATCAGCAGAACCACTATACAATTTTCCTCTAAAAAAATACAAGTGTTAGATTCAACATAACAACCAAAACAACAGCAACAACAAAAAATTTGTCAAAAAAATCAGGATAAGTGAACAAATGAATTTATATTTTGTGTGCGTATGAAGGAGGGGGAAGGGGGCCGGAAAGAGGTAATTTCATTAATTTAATCTCACAAAAAAACTTTTAAAAACTAAAAAAAAACTAACAATAAACTTAAATAAATTCTGGCAAAATAACAAATAAAAATACCTATAAGCACACAATGTCAATACCATTCCAGAATGTTCAGTAAAAGTCTTAACGCATGTGTAATTTGATCGAGTATCCCAAACCTATAAAAAATTATATTTTTAAGAACAAACCTACCAAAACAATATATTTCTATGAACAACCTACTGAAACATAAATTTCTATGCACTGTTGTTAACAAAAAAAAATTTAGCAAAACCAAGATCACATGTCGCAAAGTCAAGCTAAGGGCAAATGTTAAAGACCAATCCCAAGGTCAAGAATAAATGTTGAAATGTCAAGGACATAAGTTACCAGGGCAATACAAACATGACCATCATGTGGTATTGCCCTGATAATAACCAAATCCAGAACAGGTGTTGCTAAATAAGACTAACATTAAAAGAAAACCTTGGACAAAAGTAAAACATTATTGAAATAAAATAAAGATATATATGACAAGCTAAAACCAAAAGGCCAAGGATTAACAATACTGTTTCTATTGACAAACCTACCAAAAAATACATTTCTAAAAATAAACCAACTGAATAATTTCTATGAAAATGAATTAAAACCTTTTAGTTTTTACATACATAACTGAATGTATTTAAGGGCATTTTAAACTTTTACCCTTTTTTTCAAAACTCAAAGTTTATATTTAAATATTAATTATTAAATGAAAAATAAAATATAAATGTATTAACTATTAAACAAATCTAGTTATCACAAATATAAAAAATAAAATTAAAAAATTTGCCTTTATTGAATTATCCGAAGAACCACTGAATAAAAATGAAGAAAAGACACACAATGACCATACAGGGCCCTGAAAAATATTTTAGAAAAAAATTCTTTTTATGGTTTTAATTTGCTTTCTTCAATTTTTGTTTTTTTAAACTCACATGATGGCCGACAAATGTTCCTTTACACTTAAGTACAGATTGAACATCAAATGCTCCAATATTAAACGTGCGTGAATCCATACTTGTTATTTCTTTCTACAAATTATCATAAATTTATAATAAGTCATATATCAAACAGATATAATAAATGATCAACAATACTTATGCATAAAATTCCTATCAAAAAATATATTTATACTAGATTTTCTCAATACATTTAACATAAAATAAAAAAAACATATTTTTTAAAATGCTTACCTCTATATGGCCAAGACACCTTCTTGTTTCAATAAAATCAGACGAGAGTTTGGTAAAATTTTCATCAAGTAAATCTATATTTATATAACTTGAGATTAAATAAAAATAATTTATTTTTAATAATATTTTTACTAACTATATATAGTTTCAATAACTAAAAAATATCTTATATGTCATATCTGAAGGGGATCTTCAAATGGTAACCTTTCTCTTTGACAAGGTGCAAAAACGTAATGTAAACATAGTTGGACCTGCTCTTGCAGCAAACTTCCAACCATTGTCACAATGAACATTATGACAACATTATGTTGCTTCTCTTTCTCTTTTCTATAAATACTATAATGTATAAATACTTCTCTAAAGAGCTTGGTCTTTTGTGTCTCTACTAAAATTCATTCTTGTGTTACTCGTCATTCAGTTAAGTCTCATCCTTCTGCTGCAACTGTTCCTATTACTCCAAATATCTTTGTCTTTATCCAATTTATCCGATTCTCCGTCTAGTTTTTTCCCTTAAATATCAGTTCTTTGGAAATTTGCTTCCTTAATCTTGCTTTCCTGATTCATATTATTTGCAATCTTTAAAGTTGTCTGTCAATTGCTATCTTGCTCTATAAACTTCATATTTTCTCTTCCAGTAACTTATAACTCTCTTAGTGGTTGCTTGCAGCCTTTTTGGAAGTGAAGATATTGAAAAAATAAATGTCATCAATAACGTTTTATAGTTAAGTACAAAAAGAATTGTGTATGTAATTTGTGCAATAAAAATTTTGTGTGTAAATTTCTGCAATGAAAATTTTTAATTGTGTATGTAAATATTTATAATTGTGTGTGTAAATTTGTGCAATGAAAATTTTATATGAAATAATAAATAAAATTAAAAAAAAATTAGAGAAAAAAAAAACCTTGTTCTCTTCTTAAAAAAGAACCTTGTCGATAATGTTCAACTTTTTTCTATAATAATTATTTGTATAAAATTTTCTCAGCAGTGTTTTGTTTTTGATATAATAATGTACTTGATTAAGACATGATATGTTTATTATATACTAAACTAATTTCATTAATTGGGTGACTTTTATTTGGATGTTATAACCTATATATAAAACTGAAAAATGTTTCTAAGAAAAAATCAGAGAGAAGTCAGTAAAAGGAAAAAAAACTTACCAATTCTTACTTCCATTGATTTTTCTAACTGATCAATTTTTTCAGTTAACTTAGAAATAATACCTCTCATATAATCGTTTTCCTAAAAAATAGAAAAAGAAAAATTATAAACAAATATACATACACTAGTGATGATATACACACAAGCATATATATATATATATATATATATATATATATATATATATATATATATATATATATATATATATATATATATATATATATATATATATATATATATATATAGTCAGCGAAATTAGAAGGATTTTAGGTTGGCAAAAAAAAAAAAAGTTGTTTTTTTCTGTTACGATAGGGGTAATAATTAATGGATTATAAAAAGATTGTTTTATAATAGCATAGCCTCAGACAATAATAATTTAAAGAATGTAGGAATTAAATTTAAAAAAAAAAATAATAGTTTTTTTTTTTCCTGTTTTTTTCCTGTTTTTTTTCCTGATAGGGGTAATGATTAATTGATTATAAAAGGATTGCTTTATAATAGCATAGCTTCAGACAATAATAATTTAAAAAATGAAGCAATTAAATTTTGTGTAGTAAATTAAGTATATAGCAAATTTATGAATAAGTGATTTTTTAGTTTTGAAGTTATTTTTTCTTTACAAAAAAAATGGTCATAGTTTATTTATTACATTTTAATTGGTTTTTTTAGATTGCTCATAGAAAAAACATTGTTTAGAAATACAAATTTAGTTTATTGTACTGTAGGCAAAGATTTTGTTTACAACTGCAAATTGTTTAACAAAATGAGTATACAGTTAACATCCAGTTGTATAACCTCTACAAGAAATTAGCATTTATTTCTCCATTAGTAGGGGTTGTGATTTTCAATATTTAATTGTAGTATAGTATGAACTTGTAACTATATGTAAATTGATGGAAGAAAAACTAAAGTTAAAAATACTAAAAATAGTTTTTTTTCTTATAAATAGACATTGTTTTGCTTACTGTATTGCTGTTGCGATTTAATGGAAGTCTAAACTTTTATCAAACTAAAAAAAAGTTTTGTTTCTTCTCTGCATGTTTCTAACATAACTATAACAAGGCTAAACTTTCTTAATTTACTTTCTGATCTTAAATAATTCTAAAACATGTAAATTATTTCATTAGTTAAATGGTTTTAAGTAAAAAAATAAATTAAAATTTTATATCTTAATAAAATAATAATAGCGCATAAAAAGCGTGAGAATTTAGGTGTCACTCCATTGACTTGTTTGTAACTATATGAGTGACACCTAACCAAATTCTATTAATTTACGATGAGATTTGTAAATTTTTATTGATGTGGTTGGATAAAAAAAAACAAAAAAAAAAAACAACAACAACAACAAGCATTTAAAAAAATTTTTAACTTTGCTATGCTTAAATAAATTTGAGAAAAAATAAAAAACTAAATTGAAAAAAAATGAATGAAAATTTGTTTTAATAAAACATGTCAAATGTGAAAAGCATGTAATTACAATAAAAATATTATAAAATAATATTTAATGAATATTTGATATTTTTTACATGTATTTCAATTTGCATGCCGACACTTTAGAATATTTAGGTCAGCAGTTGTAAGCCGTCAACTTTTGCAGTTGACGGCTTATAACTAGCAGTTGTAAGATAGGTCAACTTTTGCGTCGGCATTACTGAATGCCAACCTGAATTTTGTTGATTGTATGTATGTGTGTGTGTGTGTATACATACATATATATATATATATATATATATATATATATATATATATATACATATATATATATATATATATATATATATGTATATATATATATATATATATATATATATATATATATATATATATATATATATATATATATATATATATATATATATATATATATATATATATATATATATATATAAAGCAAAAACTAAAATACTATGCATAAAGTTCTAAATATGCCTGATCTTTCTTAGCAAGAAGGCTTCTTATTTCATTCATTTCTTTTTCAGTGTGAATGAGGAATTCTTTCATCCCTTCAAACCTGCAACTTTGTAGATGTTCAGCCAATTCTTCTGAAGTTCCTTCAAACTTACAGCTAAAAGTATGTTTATATAGCATATACAATAAAGTATGTAGAAAAAAAACAAAAGCGTTAAATACTGCATACTTATATTTAGAGTGGGGACACCTAGCATGCTGACATTGGTCTAAATGATCTTTAAGGTCCTATAACACACATACACAAAATAAGTCTATAAAAAACATACAAACAAAAATTTATTCAAAAAACCAATAAATAATTTTAAACTAAAAGCATATTATAAATAAATATTATAATTAAATAATTAATATAATTCAATAATATATATAATGTATATTTAACAGCGGCTAAGAAGCAGTAGAAGCTTGATTACTTACATTAGAGTAAACAGTATAATAGAAGTGACAATAACTTAGGTTTATGGAAAATAGCGGTAAAACATAAATAAAAATTAGTTTTGGCAAAAAAAAAAAATTGCTTTGAATGTTGCTTTTTCATCTGACAATATGATAATGCTGACTTTCTAACATGCTATATTAAACTTATGACAGTGCTAATGTTAACCCTAAGTCAAATTTATGAAAAGCTAAATTGCTAACATGATAAGCCAAATTTATGAGAATACATAAGTCATGCCTGTTTGATATAACTGAGTTTAAAAAATATATATACAGTTGTTGATCTAATTAAGCATAATGAAGCAAATTTGTAATAGTTTAGCTAATCAGTGGTTTAATTTTGTAATTCATCTATATGTTTTAAATTTATTTCCTTTACTCATATATAAATGAACCATTTCTAAAATAGGGATTATAACTTATAATATTTATTTTAATATAATTTTATATTCAAATACTTAAAGTAGTTTAAGCTTTGTACAAACTTACCATTTTTGTCATTAATTGACAAATAGAGCTGTTTGGGCATCTAACAGGTGCATATTGACATTGTTCTTCATGTTCACTTAAACATTAAATAAATTAATCTATTAATAAAGTCTATTAATAAAATTAATTTGGTAATAAAATCGGTTAAAACCAAAATAAAGCATGTGAAATCATCAGAAAATTATTTCAAAAATAAAATAACAATAAAACTAAAAATTATATTCAAATTACTTTCATAAAAGTAAAACAGGTTAAACAATATTAAACACATGCAGATTTTGTTTCTCTTTAAAAAATTAGGCAACAGATATGCCAACTTAACTTTTTGTTTTTCCCCATATATAAATAGAAAATTTAGCATGTGGAATTAATGATATTACCTCTAAAAAAGTAGTAAAAATTGTAAAATAGAAAAAAAAGAAACAACTTTACAGTAACATCAGGGCCATCCCTAGGAGAAGATGGAAGGGTACATAAGGTCCTGAATTAACAAACTGAGTTAATAACAGAGGTTCATAGTTGGATCATGAACCTGTATGATACCTGTCATTTCTATACTTTTCAATTTTGTTTTTTTTTTTAATTTGTAACTTTTTTATTAACTTTTTTTCTTTTTATTTGTTTAATTTTTTGATTAGTGTCAGATATACCAGATATATAGTGTCATTAGAGTTATCTGTTTTTATATGTAAAAAAATTATTTATTACAAACATATATTATAAGTTTTTAAATTGTTATTTTAACATTCTAGTTTAAGACACAAAACCAAATCAAATCATTATCATAATCAAAATAAAAGTCATTAGAGATCTTCATTCAATCAGGAGCCCTGGAAGTTTTATAAATATTTTGAGAGAAACAAAAAACTTAGAGAATACAAGAAAACTATAACTTTTTAAAAAGAAAATAACTTTGATAATTTAAATTTTAAAAAAAAAATTTCATTAAACAAATGATAAAATAAACTAATAGTTGCAATCTAAATAGTTAGAACTATTAGTTCTGTAAAATAGTTGAAACTATTAGTTCTGTAAAATAGTTAGAACTATTAGTTCTGTAAAATAATTGGAACTATTAGTTCTGTAAAATAGTTGAAACTATTAGTTTTGTAAAGAAAAGTTAAATTTTGAGATAAACAAATTTTTTAATTGACTTGTAAAATTGAATCTTTATAATTACTAGAGTGGTGAACAAATACTTAAAAATGAAATAAATAAATTAAAATACAAAACAACTTACTTTTTTTCAGACATTTTTATTTTAGCAGGGCAACCTAATGAAAAACAAATCAAATATAATACTAAACTAATACTTAAAAGTAACTTAAAAGCAACAACTTATTAAATTAACAAGTAAAAATAAAAATTTAGTCAAAAAATAATTTAAATAAAAAAAGTCAAAAAGTAAATTATATTAATAGTGTGGTTGTTAAAAAAATTGTCTCTTACTGTCATTTGTATCATAGTGATAGTTTCACAAGTCCAAATCAGCATATGTGCAAAACAGTTGCAAAAACTGGCATAAGTGAGCCGAAAGAATTGCAAAGTTGGTAAAATGCAAACTAGAATAAGAGTGCTAAAAGAATTTGCAAACATTTGTATAAGTGTGAATAGGCATAAGGACTCTCACTTATGCCAATGATTGCAAAAAAATTTTGGCTTATGTTAATATTTGCAAAATCATTCAGTGCATTTATACCAGTTCACACTTATGCCAGGTTTTACAACCACTTTGCATTTATGCCAGTTCACATTTATGCCAATTCGCACTTATACCAATGTTTGCAAATTCTTTCTGCGCATTTATGCTAGTTTTACAACTGCTTTGCATTTATGTCAATTCTCACTTATGCAAGTTTGCTCTTAAACCAACTTGCCCTTATTTAAATTTGCTGTTACAAAATTTGCACTTGGTCATTTAAAAAAAAAAATGAAATTTACGTTCTTAGACCATTGCTTATTTAAAAATGTACAACGTCAACAAAGCAGAGTTATAGTAGGAAAATGAACCATATTGTGAATGTTAATTATTTCAATAAATATATGTCACCACAATTGTCACACCTGTTTTAAATTTATATTTTAAATATTTAATTTCTAATTGTAAGCATATTATTTTCTAAATAAAATACCATTTTTATTTACTTCAAATTCACCAGGAATGCCTTTAGATGATGGCATGCATGCATATTTACAATATACATATAGCTCACCAACTTGTTCTCGAACCTATGTAAATAATAAAATTTTTATCATATCATAACAATAACTTTGGAATTTTACACTTGTCAATTAAACTTATATTTTTTTTATTTAAGAAAGTTACTTGCAAAGATTTAACCAGATCAGGGTCATGATCACACAAATACATGAAATATCTACATCTTTCATTCACTATTAATTTGCTGTTCAGTTACTTCTGTTGGAAATAATTTTTTTATTAATTCCTGGGCCTATTCTAAGTCACCTTTCTTGGCAAATAAGAAATGATTAACCTTGTATTTTCTTTTGAATAATATAAACTATGCAAAAATACTATAAGTGAAACCACCAATTTAGTTATTAAAAATATGACAGTTATCTTGAAAGTTATTGTGGCAACATTTTTGCTTTGTCTTTTAACAGTAACTTTTAAAGGAGAGTGGAGAGGGGGTTGGGGGTGGGGTGGGGTGGGTTGGGCGTCACCAACATATTTTCAAGATTAGTAAAGTTATACTTTTGAATTTTGTCATAAGCATTGAATTAAATTAGGCTGATTTTTAAACAGTTATATAGGTCATTCAATGCAAGTGAAGGAAGGTCCCTCATGGAACAAATTTTGCGAAACTTTTTGATTTAGTACATACATAAGAGAATAGCATGTTATGAAAATTTCAGATCAAAATCTAATAGAAAAGAGAAAAACACTATTCATGTAATGGGCTATTTTGCAAAAAAGTTTTCAATCAAAAAAACTTTTTTTCATTCTTTTTCTAAGCAAGTTGGTTTTATTTTTGAATTTTTTTAAGAAAGCATGTATAATGTATGCAAGCGTACATTTAATGTATCCAAGCATATATTTAATGTATGCAAGCATATATTTAATGTATGCAAGCATATATTTAATGTATGCAAGCATATATTTAATGTATGCAAGCATATATTTAATGTATTTAAGCATATATTTAATGTATGCAAGCATATATTTAATGTATACAAGCATATATTTAATGTATGCAAGCATATATTTAATGTATGCAAGCATATATTAAAGCAAGTATGCTTTAAACACTTTTAGAAAAGAAAAAAAAATTTCAAATAAGACATTACAGCTTTTTCCATAATGGTGGACTGAAGTTAAGGTTTTTAAAATTTTACATGATTTTAAAGAACTTAATCTAAAAAAGATTAAAAAAGATTAAAAATTGATAAAAATCAAATGCATGCTGATATACACACCATGAATTTTAAAAAAAAATTTTAAATATTTTTAAAAAATTCAGTTGATTTGAGAGCTGCATTCCAAATGTTATAAGTTATAGAAGGTAGCCAGATCAAGGTAGCAAGATTTTTCATAAATTATGCAATAATCAAATATTGCATCCAAATGTTATCTAGGTGTCAATCAGTTAGATTGCTCATGTGGTACAAGTTACGTCTGTGAAACAAGAAAGAAAATAACCACACACGTTAATGAACACAAGAGAAACATAACTAAAAGCAACTGGGACACATCAGATATAGTCAAGAATGCACAACATTGTACTCAAGTTTTCCCAGGAAGCATGTGCGGTCATATGCCTTGCTTGTCCACATTTAAAGTAATTTTTTTAGAAAACTTGACCATGTTTTTATACAGTAAGGGTTTTTAAAATTTGTGACAGAATAAACATATAAAAAACAGCAGAGAACAAAATAACAATACTCAAAGAAAAGAAACAAATGCTATACAAAATAGAATATCTAAACAAAAAAACTTAAAAAAAATCGAAAAAAAATCGAAAAAAAAAACATTTGTCAAAAAAAAACTATACCTAAATATTTATAAGTTTTTATTTACTTTCATTTTTTAGTACGTTTGGTATTGCTAAAATTAATACAAATCGATAAGTTGATAAGAATATAACAAAAATAGCAACATTTTTTTATATACAATTTATTCGCGACTTTTGTCAGTCAGTATATTAAAGAAACACTTTATTATTTGCTTTATAATTAAAGAGAACTTTAAAATTTGTTTTTCAAATGTTTTTGCTAAACTTTACTGTTTTTATCAATGCACAGGAAAGCAAGAAAACTAATTGCTATTTATATGTGAAAAATATATTTATATATTTTTAACAAGTTTTTTACGTAAAATAATAAAAAGTCATTAATACCAATGTTTAAATATAAAATATTTGGTTGTTTTCACTATCCCCATTAAAACAATCTGCGCTTTTGTTGGATTCTCAAAAGTGTGCATTTAAACTTGATAATTTAATTCCTGATGAACTTTTGTTATCGACGCTTTAAAATCTGCATTGTTATATTACTGAACTTTTTTAACGAACTTTTAAGGAGCCTATTTGAAACATTTTGTTAAGTTTTTAAATACATTTTTTCAAACAGAGCAATTGTTATGTTCATTATTTCTAGTAATTCATCCTTACGTTGAAAATTGGGCGATGTAAAGGAAACAGAAAAGCATCAAGTGTTGTAAATACATTTAAAAAAGAAGCCATGCTATTCTTTTATTTAATTTCTTTCATCATTACAAAAGTTATTAATCAAATAATGTATTTTATAATTGAGAATAAATGCCAAATATTTCAAAAACGTTTTGAAAAACTAAAAAAAATTAAGAAAAAACACTATAAAAAAATTTTATAACAAAAATTAGTTTTCTTTTCTTAATGATTAAATTTTTCTAGTATATTTAATTAAAATTTTGTTCCTTTTTTTTAGTATTTTTTTTTTCTCAGTAGATAATTTTAGGTTTTCACTGCAAATTATTGAAATGCTTTAAAAGTTAAAAAATGTGAACTGCAGTGGTCAGTGTGTCTAAAAAAATAACTTTAAATGTGGATGAACAAGGCACGCAACCGCACGCGCTTACCGGGAAGGCTTGGTAGTGGTACAACTAACTGGACTAAACCAAAAATAATTTAAATAAATTTAAATAATTTAACTAAAAACAAAAAAAAAACCTCCTTAAATGTAACCCCTCCTCCCTTGGATCCTTCACAGCTGGTGTAAATGTGTTTAGCAATTAAAGTTTGATTATGAGGCTCAAATGTAAAGACAGAATGAAAATGTTTACATTAAATATTTGAATATTAAAACATAGGTGTAAAAAAAAAATATATATAAATAAAGAATGAAAAATCTATATCATATTTTATACCCTATATAATATTAAATTTTCCTAAATTGAAAGATTGATCTTAAAGAAAACCCTAATTTATCCTAACCCTAACTTATCCTATTTATTAACTATACTGAAAAAGCACTTACTGCTAGGTTGAGTACAACCATTACCAATTTGGAACCATCTGTAGGGCAAGTAACTAAAAATTAATAATATAATAATGTATGTGTGTGAGAAAATAAGTATATGTGTGTGCATGTGCATATATATATATATATATATATATATATATATATATATATATATATATATATATATATATATATATATATATATATATATATATTATATCATATTATAAAAATATTTAATGCAAGCCTAACGAATGGGTATATCATACAATGTCAACAGCAATGTTATCAGAAAAACAAAATTGTTCTTTTACACTTTAAGTTTTAAAATACCATTTAAATTATTAAATCTTGACAAATAAAAAAATGAAAAAAATAAAAATGAAAAAACTATAAATTATAGAGATATTAAATGTTAGCAATATACCTTCTGGGTTTCTAAGAACACACCGCTGACAAAAAGTATGCTATAAAGTAAAAAAAAAAAAAAAACATCAAATAAAAAAAATAACTCTAAATACAAAATATAATAATATACAAATAGTTACAAACAAAAAAGAAAAAAATTTTAAATGATTATTTTTTAATAAGTATTGTAGCATTGTTTTATTTGATTATCATTAGGTTAATTTTTACTAGCTCTATTTAATATGTGTATGGTATAATAATTTGTAATGTACATAGAGGACTTATTGGGTCTTCAAATAAAAAATGTACAAAGGTCGCCACAGGAACCAAAATTAACAAGCTCTCATAAATACATTTTACAAAATAATATCACTTAGTTTAAAACTACTAAATTTTAACACACAGCATTTTAAAGCATTCTTCAGCATTTTAAATTCTCAAACTAAAAGGTATAAAGAATTTATTGCAAGAAAAACTTGGAAGGTTGTGTTGATTAGGTACAATAATATTGATAACATGGGTTTTTTAAATGTTTCTTTACTTCTAATGGGTTTAGCAATAATTTTATTTGGCAAGATTATTAACTGTTGAATCAAAACACTTGTTTTTATTGAGTGTTGAATCAAAAAAGTTTAGTGTTGAAACAAAAATCTGCCTAAAAGTTTGATAAAGTAACAAACATTAAAAATAGTAATTATGATACAAACATATACAACAACTGACATAAGAATATTTAAAAAACAAACCATCATAATGGAAACATCAAAATACTAAAATTACAAAACTAAAGTTACAAAACTAAAGATTTAAAACTTATGAAAACCTTTTCAGACCTGCTTGATAAATGTAATACTGTATAATGAACTATTAAAACAGCTATTAGGAATTTCAGAAAAAAACTTAAATAATTGACAAAAAATATCTTTAATAATTTAAAGTTGCCAAGTTGAAACTGACAATATTTAACTGTATTTAACTATATTATCTAATAAAGCAAAACACAAAAACTACAAAATGTAAGCAAAAACTACAAAACAGAAATGCAAACACAAAAACTTCTGCAAAATAAAATAAAATAAAAAGTAGTGGTTGACAAACTTGATCGTAGTGCCTGCGCTCCGGGTTCAATTCTTATTGAAGTCTATTTTTATTATTTTTTGAATTTTTTTTTTTAAATTAACTAATTGATGCTCATATATTAATAATAATATTATTATAATAAAAGACATTTCATAAATAGTTAAGTATTAAATAACCTAAATGTTCATAACATGTGTTGCTTTTAAAGAAAAGCATTATCTTTAATGCTTATACTCTTGAGTCATTAAAATAAAGGAAAGGGGAAAGGAATAAAAGGAAGGTGGGGGATTTTAGTCTAGATCTAATAAACAGGGGTAAGGGTAGGGATTTAAAATTTAAATTTTAAAAGTCATTTAAATTTTTAAGAATTGTTTTTCACTTATAAACACTCATTAGGTATGCATAATATATGTAAGATTTATTTGCCTTCACCAGCTTCACTTCACTTCTCAAAATAATTATCATTATCAAGTGTAAAAGGTTGGTAAAAACGAGCACCCATGAACTTTCTAGTATATGTATATATATATATATATATATATATATATATATATATATATATATATATATATATATATATATATATATATATATATATATATATATATATATATATATATATATATATATATATATATATATATGTAAACAGTAAAAAAAATTAAAAAAAAAAACATTCTGAATGTTTTTAAAAACATTTCAGTTTATTACTTTAAGTTTTTGTTATTTTTTTAAAAAAAAAAGATAAAATTCAATTAGTTTCCTCAATCAAATTTAATGGTTTTTACATAAAATGTACTTGATTCTTCTGAATCGAGTGCACTTGAATATATATACATATATAAATTTTTACCCCACAGCTTGTTATGACAGGATCTTTAAATACTTTTGTGCACAATCGACATAATAACTTCTCTGAAACACTGCTGCAAAACAATGTTACACTTTCAGAAATCTAAAATATTTTAAAAACTGTTCAAAACATTCAAAACTGTTTGATACTTATGATACTATGCCATTTTTTTTACAAAAAAACCTCTGAATCTGATGCTTGAACATTTAAATTAGATCCTGAGAATAAATTAGTTGTATGCATCCCTCCATCAGACTTTGAACGCTTGTGCAGTTGGGATGTAAATTTTTCCTGAAACAAAATAAGCATTTAGATTTAATAAAAATTACATTTCACAGAGCTTACAAAAAATTCTTAGATTATTCAGGTAACATTTTCACTAACTACCTGAAAAGGAAATTTGATGCACACCACATGAAGCATTAAATGAAAGACAGTCATGGCTACAATAACTAAGGGTGGTATAAACACCACACAAAAATTCAAGTGGCAAATACCACACATAATTCTATTTATTTTCACGATTAAAAAAAAATTATACATTTTATTATGTAACTATTTAAATTTGTTTTTTTATTAGAAGTTAAGACAAATTCACTAATATTTTTTTTAAATTTATTTTCCAGAAGGGGGTACTAGATTCAAGAAGGCAAATTTTTTATTGTTAATACTTTTAATTTATCTTATTTGCAACTTTCAAGCAAAAACTCTAAAAGACAAACCTTGTGCACAGGCTGCTGCACAGCAAAACATATTGAGTGCGGCATTTTAACAGGTTTTTGTGGATTTGAACTATAAACCACTTGATTTTTTAGCATTAGTCAACTGCTGAATTATATATCATGAATATATATCTATATATATCTATATATATCTATATATATATATATATATATCTATATATATCTATATATATGAATATATAGATAGTTCTTATGACATAAACTAGGTTTATAAACATAAGTTATGTTCATAAAAATATTTGTTGTTAATTGAATATAAATATTTTTACAAATTTAAAAATGTATCTATATTTGTTATTAAAAATAGTTCTGCACAAACTATAGAACTTTGTTTTCATTCTGAAACTAAACAAAAAATATTATAACTGACCATGTTGCTATGTTGACGAGATATGAGCCTAGTATTAACAGATGTACTTCTGGGAGAAGAATCATTGTTTGATGAAAAAGTCATTCGTGTATTAACATCATCTGAACGTTGATAGTGTGATCTATTTGTAAAGTGTTTTTGGCCACCTTAAATTATAAATTAATGATTAATAAAAATTCACTGCATAATTTATGTTAAGATTAAAAAAAATTGAACAACTATATTGCAGCTTCTAATTATGCCTAACCATCAAAAAAACTTTATGCAATAATTTACAAACAAAAAATTTTGAATTTCATGCAACAATTTTGATAATGGTGATAAATATGCTCGTATATACTCAATACAAACATCATAAAATTGTGGTTAAAATAATACAGAAGCACTATTACATTTTTTTAGGTTTTTTATTTTTACTGCAATCTTGTTGTATGAAAATTACAAATATTTATCACATGTTTTTTATCAAAATTAAGTACATCAAAAGATTTTTCAAAAAATAATTAAAAATATTACCAACAGCTGAAGTGCTACCACCAACATAAGTTGAATCATAGTTTATCTAGAAATATTTATTTCTAAAATTGATATTGCATTATAGTATATAACTAAATATATACAGTAAACAAAAGGAAAAATATGATCAACAAAAATAACAACAATACAAAAAGTAATAAAAACTTTACAGTTTATAAATATCAATAGTACATACTAAATATTCATCTTTGTTTTTATCTTCGTGAGAGGGTCCATAAAACTTAAACTGCTCTAACTCATTCATCTTTTGTTCTCCAAAATGCAGTTTTCACTATCTCTTGAATAAGCTTTTTGAAATTTTTTGTTACACATCAAAACCTTACTTTGATTTTAGACTTATTACTACAATTGTCCTCAAATGTTACAGAGTATATACTTTGAATAACATGCTGCTAAAAAGAATATTTTTTATAAATATAAAATGTATGTATTTGTGTATATGTCTCTCTATGTACATATGTGTGTGTAAGTGTAAAAATTATAATTAAAAAAGGTAATTTTTATCTATTATTTTTTATAACAATAATAAAAATTATATATGATAAAGGCATTCTCAGGAACTACTTGCAATCACACACCTTATATGACTACGCATATAGTATTTTATTTTTGACAACTTGGTCACGGCTAAAATGCAAATTTTAAGTTTTTGCGTTTAATAAATGCCCTGATTAAACAAATTTAAATTTAAATTAAAAATGACCTAACTATAAACTAAAAAAAAGAAATAAAAACTAAAAAAAAATAATACAAAACTGAAATAAAAAAAATTAAAATTTTAACAAATCATAAAATGAATAAAAAATCAGAAAAAAAAATAACATAAAATTAATACATGTTTTTATTTTAATTTAAGCGAATTTAGAAAAAATCGAAGTTTTAAAGTTATTGAATTTAAGCTTAATTAATTAGAAAATTAATTATTTAAAAATTTGAAACTTTAATATTTTTCAATGCCTACAAAACATATAAAATATTAAAAAAAAAAATATTCATTAGTAGGATTTGAATTCTCACCCAATGCCTTTATAACAAGTCACGACTCATAAATGACAGAATCAACCTAATCGCTACATCAACGTAGCGATATAGGAAAATTATTAGCTATAAACTATTAATTGAAATAAACTATTAATTTTTTTTGCTTCACTTATTTAGATTACTTTCATTGGTGAAAATATTTTTTCATAAATGATTGAAGTTCTTATTTAATTATTATTTTAATAAAAATATTTAACATATTATTTTATTAATAATATAATAATATATAATAATTGCTGTATTTGATTAAAAACTAGAACATTTTTTATTTTAACTGAACCTTGTCACTTTATTTTTTTCTTTCAATCTTTTTGATTATTTTCTTGAAGTTTTTGCCATAAATTGTAATAAATGAATGAATATTTATGAAAATTTACAGATATATTTCTTTTAAAAAATTATTAGCAATAAACCATTAACTAAAACGCTTTCAAATCAAATTAAGTTTAAACTGTTATTGAAAAACTTCTAAATTAAAAAATATATTAGTCTTATGCTTTAATCTTCTCTGGTTAATCCTTTATTTATTTTATTATTTGTTAAGTTTGTTTCTTTTTTTCAGTTTATGGTTTATTAATTTTTAATATTCTTTTTAAATTAGTTTTTATCAGCACATTTTTAAAAAATATGCAAATTATCAATATATGCAAAAAACCATAGCCAAGTTGTCAAACAAAAAAAATTGTACGCATTATAAAAGGTGTGTGATCACACACATCACCTAAGAAGCCTTGATGTAATAATATAAAAAAATCTATAATCTGGTAAAACTATTTTTTGAATAAAAATGAATTCAATTTTAACAACTATAACAATCAAGTACATTATAATAAACAATGAAGAAAGAATTTAAACTTTTTTCCAAGCAACAACAAAAATATACATGTATATAAAGTTGAAAATAATAAGAAGAATATTTACAAAATTACTTATCATACTTTTTTCATACTTTTTAGCATTTAAAAGAAAAAACTTATGAAAACTTTAAAAATAAAACTATCAAAAAAAGTTCTTCAAATATCTTTATGAATATCCTTCAAACGACTGCTTTGAATCAAACACATTTGGTTGGTATAAAATGAGGTTAGGATATACTTAATTCTAAAGCTAAAATGATATCCAAGTTGAAAAGCAATCCATTAATTTTAGGGTTTCCAACTCTGCTAAGCAGTTCTTTAAAAATAACTAAAACTGAGTAACTGTATTTATCCATTACTTAGGTTGTGTCCTATAAAAAAATATTATAAACAAATAACCAAAATATCATTAAGAACTGAGATAATAATATTGAGCAACCAAGATAAATATAACATGTTTTATATAAATATAAATGTATTTCATATTTATAATAAATAAATGAATATTATAAATGTATATAAGTAAAAATAAAATTTTATTTTTACTAAATAAAAAGTACAAAATTGTTTCAAAAAATAACCTTTTCTAATATGTCTAAATGCTATGAAACCAACACCTGCCATCATCAAAAATGAAATGCCAAGTGTAAAGATTATTTTTTTTAAAGATTTTTCAGTGTTTGACGCACCACCCCTAAAATAAACACCTTGTATAAAAGCAAAGGTATTCCAAGAGTAAATTAGTATACTATAATAGAATCATGTGATTAATAATGTATCGATCTATGTGTGAGTGTGTTGTGAGTCTGTGTGTGTGTGTGCGTGTGTGTGTGTGTGTGTGTGTGTGTGTGTGTGTGTGTGTGTGTGTGTGTGTGTGTGTGTGTGTGTGTGTGTGTGTGTGTGTGTGTGTGTGTGTGAACAAACAGTTGAACCATTATATGAAATTAAATGGTTACTCTTATGTGAAGAGGTCTTCACATAAGAGTAACCATTTTATAAGTCATTAACCTACTGCTAAATATTTTAATATCATTATTATTGTATTTTTTGCTATTTTGTCGTAATTGTATTTTTTGTGTCGTATTGTATTTTTTGCTATTTTGTCGTAAAAAAATTGAAATTTATATGAATATATATTACATTTAATGAATATATATTACTACAGATTATTTGCATAGAAATTAAATTGAAAAATTAAAAGCTGAATTTTATTATTAAGATGATATTCATACAGTCACATAGTCATATTTCTGAATAGTTTTACCTATCTTGTACTGAAAGAATTTTTGGAAATTTCTTTTCAGCACAAGAAAAAGGAATCTTAACTAAAAAGAAAATCAAAATGATATAAACTAGAAAAACTTTAAAATTAAAAATTTTTTAAAAATTAAAAAAAAAAAATTTAAAAAAAAAAAAAAGAAACTAAAAAACTTTTTTTCTAAAATTACAAGAGTTTTACCTAAAATGGTATTTATAAATGTAAAATAATTTTATCTTAAGAATATCTTCAGAATTAATTTTTTATTTAACCTAGTCTATGAGCAATTTTTAAATAAAGTTTTTAAAATGTTTTTCCATTTGTATTGTACATTATTTTAGAACAATTACAGAGGAATGCGAGAAAATAAATTGCTATCTACTTGTAAAAAAGATGAAAAAATAAAAATAAAAAGATAAAATAAGGTTTAAAAAATTCCAATATAAAATACTCCTATGGTTAATTCCAGTAGTCTGAAAATAGTAGTCACTTTTATATCTGTTTTTAGATTATGGTTTGCTTTTTTATTCAAGTTGAGAAAAATGGTCAGTCCCACCCATAAGAGATTAGGTTTATTATTTGTGTGGGTGGGGAAGGGGCAAACCCATAACCATATAAAATTGAATATAAACTAGAAATACATCCCCATTTTAAAAGATGATTCCAGAAGAAAATAATTTGTCTCACGTATATTTCAACATTCATCTGTATTTTAATAAATTTTGCCTTTATTTATATTTCATAAACAATAATAATGACAATTCATCTAAGCTGTAACATTAGGTCTCATACCACTTTTTGATGAAATCATAATTTGTGATTTTTGTCAGAGGCCACAAAATAGCATAAATAAAAGAGTCAAAGCATGAATAAGACTTTGAATCAATGCTACAAATTAATATCAGGTACACATAATTTTATCTATACTCCTTTTTTTGTTCATTTTTAAAAATATACCTGCAAAACTAAAAAAAAAAATTTCAGAAATGTTGAGAAGTAACTGTTGAACTCAGTGAAACAGTTGCTTTTTTTACAACAACAGTTGTTAGGTAGCAGAAGTATGTGATGCAATAACAACTTTTTCTAATCCTTATAGAATAAAAAAGATTTGCATCAGATTTTTTTTCTTTTTGAAAAGCTAAAAATATTATCTTTTCAATTTTTGCATATATCTAATCAAGTTTTATTTTTTGACTTTCTAATGAAAATTTCATTTTTGCCTTTTATTGTTTTGATTTTAACTATATTTTGCAAAATTTTATAACTACCCAATATTTTATAACTACCCAATATTATTACCCAACATTTTATAACTACCCAATATTATTACCCAACATTTTATAACTACCCATTATTATTACCCAACATTTTATAACTACCCAATATTATTACCCAACATTTTATAACTACCCATTATTATTACCCAACATTTTATAACTACCCAATATTATTACCCAACATTTTATAACTACCCAATATTATTACCCAACATTTTATAACTACCCAATATTATTACCCAACATTTTATAACTACCCATTATTATTACCCAACATTTTATAACTACCCATTATTATTACCCAACATTTTATAACTACCCATTATTATTACCCAACATTTTATAACTACCCATTATTATTACCCAACATTTTATAACTACCCAATATTATTACCCAACATTTTATAACTACCCAATATTATTACCCAACATTTTATAACTACCCAATATTATTACCCAACATTTTATAACTACCCATTATTATTACCCAACATTTTATAACTACCCAATATTATTACCCAACTTTTTATTACCAAAAATTTTTCAATACAAAATTTTTCTAGTTTTTATTACTTTTTTTTTTTTTTTTTTTTTTTACAATTTTTGTAGCCATTTTGTACATTCACATTTTGTTGATTTAAAATATTTTCTATTCTTGAAATGTTTTCTTTTTAAAAAACTCTTTCTGAAGTTTTTCTTGTCTTTAAATAGTTTTAAACTATTTATATTATTTATATTAAAAATATGCATTTTAAATATACCTTGTTGTAAAATTTAGTTAAATATATGTGTTAAAATATGTTATGATATTTTTTAAATATCTTTTTTTAAACTTTGTCCTCCTATTTTCTGTTTATTTATATTTTATATAAAAAAAAACTAGAAAAATCAATATGGTGTCTTTTAAAATTGCAACATGTTTCTACAAAAAATTTGGGTTGAATTAGGTGCAATTATTGTTGCACAAATTTGCATACAAACCTTAAAAAAGAAAATATTGCTTACAATTGTGCAGATATAGTAGCAACTTTAGAAAATAACGTTTTATGATTTTTGGATGAATCATTTGAACTGAAGAACTAAAAAATATAAGAACAAAACAATTTTTTTGATGTTTGTCTTCTATTCAAAAGATTTAGTTATGGGTGTTCTCATTAACCCATACAATACTTTTTTCTATAAACTGCTTAAATATAAACCTGAAGCTCATATGATGAATTATTAGCAGCGTATTCACTGGGAGCTACTTCAAAATTCTAAAAAATATTTAAAAAAAAATAAAAAAAACTAAGAAAATTAAAAACACACATTAAAACATCAAAAAACAAATAAGAATAATGAAATGAAAACATGATGATGATGATGATGATGATGATGATGATGATGATGATGATGATGATGATGATGATGATGATGATGATGATGATGATGATGATGATGATGATGATACATGAACATAATTACCTACTAAGGGATACTTACACTATACTGAAAAAAACAACAAGAAGAACAAAGAAAACAAAAGAAGAAAATAAATGAAACAAGATTTCATTTCAAATATTTTAAGTAATATGATTATGCTATAAAAATGAATATCAAAACAAGATTAAATAAAATCAAAATGAGAAAATAAAACATTTGACGATTTATAATTTATGATCTTTAAAAGAATTTGGAAATAAATTTAATAAAATCAAATATTTTAATGAGCTAAATAATTACCTGTTTAGCTTTAGAAAGATCAGATTTTGTACCAACAAATATACAACCTTTAGCTCCAACATTCTACAGAAAATAATAAAACTTTTCTCATAGCAACAAAAATAAAAAATCTTAAAAAGTGTGTTGATGAAACTGATGGTTAACACTCTTATTAGTGCAATATAAAAAGTCTGTTGATATTCCTCACTTTACTTCAAGCACAATTTTTTTTTAAACTAATTTGTTAACTAAGATATTAAAGCCTACAAACTAAGTTGTTATAACCTTCTCTCAATCCTTGAAATCCATAACACAAGTCTTAACAAACCTGCTGCAATGAGAACCTAGTTAATTGTGATATGATTATGTTTGTGATATGTTTTATTCATAGTTTATTAAAATGGTTAAATAACACTTGGATTATCTTGGTGTACTTACATTATGCAACACAACATTTTTTCATCAAATGGTTGCCTGCTTCAGTTTATTCCAATAATATATAGAGTACTGAAACAGGGTTTCAGACAGCTATATATCAACATGGAACTAAGAATAACCTTACTTATTTTAAAGATAGTAGCTATTTTAAACCCTTCAATAAAAATAAAAACAAAACTGTAACTTTTTTAAGTATTAAAGAATAAAGAAACATTATTTTACAACCACTATTTATTTATTTTTTCCCTTATTTGAAAAATTTTTTTATTTGATCTTTCTTTACTGAACCTGTAGTTTGTTTTTGCAAATAATTATTATAATTATTATTAAAAACATTTATAATAATACAAGATCAATATTAGATTTCCTACTCATTGTGATTGTCACATGTTAATATTTGATTCCCTGCTCATTGTGATTGTCACATGTCAATATTTGATTCCCCACTCATTGTGATTGTCACATGTCAATATTTGATATCTCATTGTGATTGTCACATGTCAAGTAAAAAATTAACTCTGTTAAAATAAATCATAAAAATTTGCAATGTTTATTAAACCGGTTAGAACCAGAGAAATGATATCTAGAATACTAAAAAGATTACAAACAAATCAGACATCAAAAATCAGACAGAGTATGGCTTAGGCATAGAAACCCACCATAAGCATAGTCCAAAAGAAGGAGCTATGCTATAACCTGGGAGTGAGAACAAATGTATAGTCATTTTCAAGCAAATTATTACTAAGAGATGGGGTTGCACATAAGGTTGTGATAAGGGCGTGAAAAATTTGTTAAAACAGACCAAATTTCAGTGCAATCTGCAATTTCTCTATAAAATGTTTGCTATCTTCTTTTAAAGCAGCATTGCTGAGCTGATTAAATTTCTGACTTGAATTAATGGTGACAAATATTTTATAACTTAAAAAACAATGGTAAAAATTGTGACCTGTTCTTTCAAGAAAATAACTTAATTTTGCAACTCTAGTTGTTTCATCAAGCCCTGGGTCCAAATACATCAAGTATTGCTTTGGGGTCAAACACATCAAGTATTGCCCTGAGATCAAATATATTTGATCAAATACAAATTCTTGATTCTCCAGTACAAATACAAATGCAAATATATGTAATTCGTATTTTCCAGGTAAAAATGCAAATACAAATATTTGTATTAAGAAGAAATACAAACATTTTCAATGACATTACTGATAAAACGGTTATTTGTAATGGTTATTTACATGGTAAACTTAATAGAAGAATGAAAATAACTCTTTTAACAAATATCAGTTTAAAAAAAATTTTCAAACTATTTTAACATTTATTTATTTGTATTTGAAAAATGTACAAAATACAAAGTGATAATTACTCTTATGTAATTTAGTAATTACCTGTCTCACCATTTTGATTCAATTATAAGTAAATGTGAAAAAACCAAGTTAGTAGACTGTGACAATTTAAATCATACTTTTTTAAATTCGATTTGAATGCAGTGAGGGCGAGTTCACTGTGACAGTGAGGGCGAGTTCACTATGTGGTCAGGAAGTGAGTTCCATACTTTAATGATACTTTTGATGTAAAAAAATCTAGTATCATTAATGTATTTATTACGTGGAGTAAACTTTTGTGAATGACTTCTAGTAAAATATTTGGAATTGGAAAAAGTAAAAAAATCTGAAAATGGTAAATTAACAAGATTATATACAATTTTATAAGCCATATAAAGATGAAACAGAACTCTGCAAAATTCAAGAGATTCTAGCAGGAAAACAATAAGTCTTGATAAGTAATCAGTGTTAGTAATATGACACCTTTTGCAGACAATTCTGGTAAACATTTTTGAACTTTTTCTAAGCAAATTATCTTTTAAATGATGAGGGGTCCTGACTGGGGTGCATTTTTCTAATACAGGCCGCACATAAACTTTGTAAGCTATTAACAAAAGATGAGAATTGCTAGAGATGAAAGATTTTAAAAGTAAGTAAATGCGAGAGTATGCTATGCTTGAAATATGAGAGCAGTGACTAGAGAACTTCGTATCAAAGGACATTCAGGATTCCAATATCCTGAATTAAATAAACAGTTTCAATATTGATAACGGAGTTTAATGAATAAGGATGATTAGGTATATTATATCTTCCGTAGCATAAATGAAAATATTTGTTGGTTACTATTTTTAGTTGCCAATCGTTGGACCATGCCAAGATTTTTTTTAAAGTGTTTACAAGATCAATGTTGTTGTAATCATTTCTCGATACAACTTAATATCATCTGCAAACAGCATAATATTCAGCTTTTTATAAAAAATAAAAAAAAAAAATTTGACATAATCAAACAACATGCATTAGTGGTCGAAGTGGTTCACTTTGGCTACTAAGGCGTGTTGTTTTGATTATGTCAAATAATCTTTTGACATAATCAAAAAATGAATGAAGCAGCATTCAAAAGTGAAATAAAAAAACAACAATGAAAAAACAACCAAAACTCTTGGTTTTTCACAAAAAAACAATTAACCTAGTTTATAGAACTACAAATACATTTTAATCAATTACAATACAAATACAAATGTGACAATATTATCACCAAATACAAGTACATATTTGGCTCCAACCCTGATGATTTGACCATGGTATTGCTAATTCAAAGTTTACATCTTGTTTATTTTTAGAATTAATGACCTCATAATTAAATTTACTAGCTTTTTTTCAAGTTTTCATTTAATAACTGATATTTTTTATAAAAATATAAAATAAATCCTGTCTAATGTAACCTGCTGAAACTTCAACTTTGTTTCTGAACTAATTAAATGGAAAAGAATTAAAAAAGTATATACTTTTTTGCATTCAATATACATTTTTTATATAGATAAAAAGTCATTACGTCATTATAAACTGGATAAAAAATAAATAGTTTTCCATATCAAGTATATGTTTTATAAAATTCTGAAAATACATTAATATTGGTAGAATGATTATCTGTAACAACAGCTCTTACTTTAAAACCAGATTGATGCAATAAAGTAATACACTCGTCAATTTCAAGGATAAAATGGAACTTTTATTCTTAAAATTGACAAGTGAAATATCTTTATATAAAATCTGACAATACAATAATCTCTACAGAAAACAACAGTAAACTTGATAGAATGTCACAGAAAAGTGGATCAATAAATTGTTAAGATAATACAAGTAAATGAGAAGTTGATTATCTGACTGATCGAAAACCGTTTTAGATCCACATTAGGTCAGCACAAAATTTTGCAGCATAGTTAGACAAATCAAAAAACATGAGAACATTAGGCATAAAATTTACAGAAAAACAAACGCAAAGATTGCTGACTTTCAAATCTCAACGCTTGCTTAAAATTTTTAAAAACAAACAAAAGTTTTGCTGATTTTATTTTAATCATTTTATTATTAATAAACATTAGTTTTTTTGTTTTAATCTTAATTGTTTTGTTTACAATTCAAATAAACATATAATTACATATAACATATAAGATTATAACATTTATGTATAATATATAATTAAATGTTTATTTGAATACTTGTATTTAATATAATGTATTTAAAAAACACAAATTTTTTTTAAGGCCAAGACCAAAACAATCAAGGCCAAGGCCAAAATTTTCAAGGCCAAGGCCAAAATTTTCAAGGCCAAGGCCAAGAGTTTTAAGGTCAAGACTAAAGCCAAGGCCTCAATTTTTGGCCTTAAGGCCAGGCCAAGGCCAAAAACTAACTCTGGCAAGTGAGAAAAAGACAAAAAATGTTGGCAACTTCTTTGCGAAAAAAAATCTTATAAATAATGTCTCTGATTTGGCTACAGTTAGCATTTGATTCGAACCATAACCAGAAATAAATACATAATAGTAATAATAAATTAAAAAAATCAATTGCTTGAGATGTATATAAACAAAGGTGATGTAATAAAACTTCTGCACAAAAATCTTGATAAAAAAAAAATTGCATAAAATTTTAAGGTAGACAATAAACGAAAGTTCAGCATGACTGTCGATACGATTACTACTCTAAGAAAACAAAGATATTTTGTTAATATAATTGGTAATACTGACAATATCACATATAAAACAGGACCAATTTGAATTTTGGGTTCATGCAGTGCGTTTGATATGATTCAAATAATGAAACAACATCTAAGTGTTTTATGAAAAAAAAATTAGCTGCATCTATACAGTATATTTGGAATTTAGATGTTATTCATCAATTTTATCCTAATCATGGTCAACATCTTGGAGAATGTGACACACTTTATAAGAAAAAACATGATATTGAAGATTTAAGTGGCATCTTTGAAAAAAATGAAAATGATTCTTTTGACAAAGGAACTTATTTTGAAGTTATAAATGATGAAGATGAATACTATGATTTACTCAAGACACGCAAGCTAATAAAATACATCCAACTGCCAACTGTTCGAAATCAAGTATTTCAAAGTCAAAGTTCTAATCAGGAAATAAATTAAACTTCATCTAAATGTTTCAAACTCGCTGGAACACAATATTATAACCACTGTTTCCCTAAAACCCAGGTTAGGTCAGCGTTGCCAAATGTCAAACCTAATTCTAAGGGGAGTTATATCAATTATACCAAAAAAAAATTAAATTATTGAATATGATAATACTTTTTTTGAATATTATAATATTAATTATTTTTTATTCTAAAAGTTGTTTAGTTATTTTAAATATTATTTAATATTACCAAATTATACCTTATGAAGTTTAGCAATTGCTGAAAATGATTGAGAATCTGAAACATCAAACAGAAAACAAACACTATCTTGCTTGCCAGACAAAATTTTTGCTGCAGCATTTTCCAGGTCCACTTCTTCTAACTGCAAAAAATTTTCATTTAATTTAGCATTTTAGAAACTGATACAAACTTTTATAATCAAAAACAAAGAAATTTTTAAATATCTTAAGATTTTTGTGTATTTACAATCATGTGCACTTCTTACAATCATATCTTACTTCTTACAATCAATACTCACAATCATATGCACTTCTTGCTTGTGAATTTGTACAGAGTTGCATGCAAACTTTGAAAATTCAATTTCTTTCGAATTTGCTTTTGTGTTATTTAAAAAACTTTGAAGAAAAGCTGTTTTTCCGCAATTCTTTGCACCAACAACATAAACAAGGAAAACAGTTCGTGTAGTTTTCCGCTTTTGAATATCAATATCCTTGGGCCTAGTAACTAAATAGCAATAAATTATTGGGCCTAGTAACTAAATAACAACAAATTATTTCAAACAAAATTATCTACTAATAGTACATAGTTGACACAGTCAAAGATATTTATTTTATTTCAAGTTATTGTGAAAAACATTCAATCATCTGCAGTATTAAATATATACTCCCCTCTGAACTAAGATTGACATTCTGAAATGACAACCTAACTGATAATCAGCAAGTGACTAAGCTCTGTAGTTTTTTACTAACCTCTATATACTATATATATATATATATATATATATATATATATATATATATATATATATATATATATATATATATATATATATATATATATATATATATATATATATATATATATACAGGCTTCGGCAGGAATAAAAACCGTACGGGCTATGAAAAGCCCGTCTTAAATAGACTTGGCGGGCTATGAGGGCCGCCCGTCTAGATGGTCTTGCACGGGCTTTTTTAAACTTTAAAAAAAATTCTAAAGTTTGAACTTTTTTTTTTTAAATTTGTTAATTTCTCTTCTTCTTTTTGAATGAAAATGTCATTGAATATTAAACATTTTGTGAATTGCACTAAAATAATATGTTAGAAAGCGATTAACTGTTTAAAATGCTTAATTACTTAAGTAATTAAAACACTGCAGTAAATGAGTTGGATAATACTTAAAACTAAGATTTCAATAATTGTTTTTCAAATTTTCACTTGCACAGATCTAATTTCGTTTTACGTGGGTTAGTTGTTTTATGGTTGCTTTTGTTTAGATTTCTTACTCGAAGGAACTTTATTCAGTTATTTATGTGTTTTTTTTAATCTTTATTCCAGATAATATCTGGCAGATATAGTCAAACGAAAGAACGTGAAAACGACGGAAAAAATCCTCGAAACAACTATGGCGTTTCATCACGTTTCCTTATTCAAGCATCCTAACGTGTTTTTTTACCGAAGTCTTTTTGAGTATATTTATATATTATTGTTTTATTCAAGTATTCGATTAAATTATACAGGTTTTTATCGTGCTTTTTTAGTTCATTCGTTTCTCTTATTCTTTGTGAATAAAAATATTACATAATGTTTTCAAAATCTAATTTTTTTAATTATTCAGCAAATAGTTTGATATCTTTTTTTTTTTTAACCTTGAATCAATGAGCTCGATAGTTTTAGAATAGTTTGGTATTAGCTTGGTAATATGATACGTAACTATGTTATTTTTCAAATTCAATTATTTATATACTCTTGCATTCTATTGGGCGTGCAAATTAAAAACTTAAACTGTTATTTATATTTTTATAACTTTGCTTTACCTATGCCTATTCTGATCGGAAATAGTTATTCTGATACGTGAATAAAAAATTTGAAATCTAATTTCTTTTAATAAAATAAGTTTTTATTTAGAAGTACTAATAATTTCTTAAGATACCGGGGCTTCCGTTACTTTATATACAATATAAGCATGTATATAAGCGTATGCATGTTGCTAGCTTTAACGTTCGTAGTTCCCTCTATAAATGCTAATGCTTTTGATTTTGCCAGACCTTTTAACTCGCGAAGCAATTCTTTTTTATATTTTATACAAACCATACACCATATCTTCACAACAAAAATTGTTCCATTCTCCACCTCAGTTTCTTTTCCACAGACTCCATCTTTACCCCACTCAAAAATGTTGCTAATGTAACTCTTCTACCAGATGATGCCATTACTATCTTTACTGAAAAACTTGAATAACTTGAAAAACTTGAATGACTGTATAACTTGAATAACTTTATAACTATAAAGCAACACTATTTATATTATCTACAAAAATTGATTAGACGTTTGTTGATTTTTAATGAGATATTTCATTTTCAATAACGAGTTATATAATTGCATATTAAATAAACTGCCGTCTCTTTAAGAAAAAACGTGAAGTTAACGCGGAAGTTAACGCGGAAATATCACTTTAAATGTCTTTAAAGTAAGACAAACTAGTTTATCGGAAAAAAGCGAAATACATGGATAATTAGTTTATTATCGTTATTATTATAAACATTGAAAAACCAAAACAACATGATACTTCTTGTTCATCACATGTGTATATTTCCCTATTTAATATAGTAGTTATTAATTTTTGAACATAATATGGTAACTGTTTGGTATTATATCAAACAGTTATCGTCGTTTAAAAAACTGTAAGATTTAGTTATATTATTTTCTACATCATGTTATACAATAATGATTAAATTGTTTAATTTTTATATTTAAATATAAACAATTATAAGTTGGAGTTTGCTATCCATATTAAAATAATGTCATGAGAGAAGTTTTAAAAGAGTATCTTAATAAAAAAACATCAAAATATTCATCTTTTTTTTTACACAAAACTTATGTTTCAGACGGGCTTTATTTCGCCCGTCTAAACTGACTTAGACGGGTGCGGAGACGGACACGGGCCATAGCCCGTCATTCCTGCCGAAGCCTGATATATATATATATATATATATATATATATATATACTGAAAAAAAGGTACATAAAACTGGTTGGCATCAGTGCCATGTTGACATTTTGGGTAAAAATACTCCTTAGGTGCACCAAAGTCATCTTACAAAGTATGGAACAAAAATTGATTCAACTTTTGCAACTATGAGTAAAATCAAAATATTTTTTGTCCTCAAAAAAATAATTAAAAGACATGCAAAAACAAAAACTATCAAAATTTTTCAATAAAATGTGAAAATGAGTAATTAAATTATAGCTTATGTTTCAAAAATTTAGTATTATTTAAAGTTTAATTTGCCAGACTATAAATCAAACTAAAATTTAAACTTACATAAAAAAGCCATTGTCATAAATTTAGTATACTAAACAATAAACTGCACTCTTAGCAAATGAAACTAATTTGTACTATGATTAAATATTTGCGGTAGTGGTGTAGTGGTAGAGCGCTCGCATCATAAGCGAGAGGTTCCGAGTTTGAACCCCACCACGTCCCTGGTAGTACCGCGCTCAACTTGTTTTTCAGCGCAGCAGCCTTGTTTATCAAGGTTCGTGTTTCGGAGTTATAGAGTTGAGAGAGGGTTATAACCACAATTAAGTAGCCTCCTCGTCTGTAGTGGCCTTCTCAGCCTTGGGGAGGTGAAATAATTAAAAAAAAAAAAAAATTAAATGATAATCTTATATCAGTAAAAAAAAATGTCATAAAGCACCATGAAACCTAATGGGTTTTCTGGTCCACAATGGTTACAAAAAAGTAAATAAAATATTCAAACATCATTACATCGTCACATCTCATAACATTCTAATATTAAGTATTATTTAAATTTATTACTTCGTAATCCTGTGAGCTGATTTTCCATATCTCCTTGTATATAGCCATAATATCCAAACAGTTTAAGAGTGCGAGAATAGTCTATATATGTCCATAAACTGAAAAAGAATAATTAAGATCAGCATCCCTAGATTTAAAATATTAAAAAATAGTAATGCTGGCTTAACTCAAGTTGTAAATACCCGCAAAAAATGATGGTATGGTTCCTCCACTTACATCCATTGTGCTACAAATCCTTCAGCAGTCATCCAGCCTTTATCATTCCGACAAGTAGCTGTTAAATCAATATCTTTCCAAGGTTTTTCATCACAAAGACTAAGCATATCCTATTTAAAATAAAAAAAATAATAAATAACTTTTATATTTAATTGCATATTTATATTTAAAAAATGTGAATATAAAGTAAAGTTTAAGATCTTTAAAAATATATCTAAACTTTACTTTTAAACAAAAAAAAAATGTTGAATACAAATAATTGGAGAAACTTTCCAATAATCCAACTAATAAGAAATACGAACTTAAATAACATCGAAAAAGTCTCCAAGATCAAAATCAATTTTAAACTTCAAAATCAATTTTGATCAGATATAAATTATAGACTTCATCCGTTTATTAGTCAATTTTAAATGTACTTTATATATGAATAAGAAAAGTATATATAAGAATGTGAAAGATATGAAGATATCTTCATTTTAAATGTGTTTATGAAGATATCTTCATATAATCAAAATGCATGTAAAAACCAATATGGATACTGCACTATTTCAAAAATTTAGAATAACTGATATAAAACCCATAGTACCCAACAAACCTGAAAAAAGTTCTTTCTGATTTGATTAACTTAAAGAACTTAAAATACACAAACAACAATATCTTATAGGATAATTTGTTCAAATGTATTTGTTCAAATGTATTTCTCCAAATTTGGCCATATTAAAATTGCATATAACAAAATAAATTTTGAACTTTAACTAGGCTATCCTGCAAACATAAATAATGTGTTTTAGGGACAGCTCAATTAACTTTACTTTTTAACAGGTCCCTACTATTTAAGAAAAAAAAGTTTTTCAAAAGTATATCATGTTTGGTCTTAAAAGTAGCGAAATTATAAAAAAAAAATTTAAAATATTAAATAAAAATTCTATACTTTAATTATTATTTTAGTTTTATTTGCATAAAAACTTTTTTAACTAGAAATAAAAAGTGCATTTTGACAAGTTTTCAATTAAAAAAAACTATAATTTTTTAAAAACAACTGTTTTTTTTGAAACTTTTATATTAACTTGCTTCTTTTAAGTACCAGGTTGACCTACTTTTAAAGAACTTTTTTTCTTAAATATTAGGACCCTGTTGAAAAGTAAAAAGTTAAACTTAAAAATTTAAATTTAAACTTACTAATTTTTTGAGCATCGGAAAGGTCCCCACAGAGGGCAAAAGGGTCAATTTTGCCCCTTTTTTAGGAAAACTTTGCCCTGCTTGTGGGACCCTTAAATTTCATCCAATTTAAAAAATAAATTATCCATTAATATGGTAATAAGTTCTAATACTTAAGTTTGAAGGGCTCTTTTTTTAATTCATATTTAGGTATTTGTTTATTTTCATTAAAAAGCGGGTTTTTAGTATCAAAATATCTTATATTTTAGGGTTTTTTAATAATTTTATATTTGAAAAGATAATTTTTTGACAAAGTTTGTTTTGTGTAAAGAATAAAAAAGATTTTGAATAAAGTAGACAGAGAATAATTGTTTTCAAAATTAAATTTTAAATTTATGATTCATTTATGTAACATACAAATATTTAAACATTTAATTTTAGATCAACATAAAATAATAATATTTTATAAGATGTCACCCATAAAGAAAATTAAAGTAATTGATAAAACTTTCCTTGTGGGAAAACTAAATTGTACTATTCCCAACAACAAGTTTGCTACTACACAAGAAATTCTTCAGTACTACAACTTTCTCAGGAAATCTAGACCTGAAGTTAAACTGAGTTTTATTGTTGGATGCCAAACAAAAGTGGACCTTTCTCACCTAACTGTCCTACCAGTCAGTTACATTGCTGCATAATATCTAAGCTTGTTGTTGCGTGAACACGTGGTGGCTTTGAAGTCATTACAACCCAGAAACTAAGGTAATAATAGATCAAACTTTATAACTTATGAAAAAGCCAAAATATATTTTCAAGTTTTTTTAAGCAATTAATAATAATAATTTCATTTTATAGGATAAAGGTAGAAAAAATGGTGAAGGACTGGATGAAGCTGAAAAGCTTCATCCAGTCCTTCACCATTTCAAAAGTAAAAGAAACAACCCTGCTGAAGTGAAAGAGAGAAAAAACTTTATTGAAAATATGAAAAAGGTTTTCTGGATTAGAGAAAACCCAATAAATATGATTGAAAAAATAAGGAAAGATAGATTGAGAAACCAAAATGACAAAGAGGAAGACATAGCTTTACTTAAAGATCAGTTAAAGGAAAGGAAAGCAAGGTTAGGGGGTTTGGATGAAAAATTTCAGTACACAATAAAAAGGAAGCATAAATCTAAATGTAATTATAGTAAATTAGACAATGTATCTGATGCAGATTCTGAAACTTTATCAAGTTCTCTTAATACCAATAAAAGTATATCAACTGATAGTGATTTTGAAATTGAGACACATATTGATCCTAGTTCTGTCAATCTACCCAAGGATATTTTGCATAGTACTGCTAACACAGCAGTTGGAGAAGGTTTAACTCTACATCAATACACAGCGATTCTTAGCAGTATTATAGTCAATTCTGGAGGATGCACGTCTGATTTTGTATGCTCAAACTCATCTTCATACAGAGCAGCAGAGAACGCTGTATTTATGGGTGCAAATGAAATCAGAGACCATATAAAAAGAATTTCTAAATCTTCAAATTCTCTAATAACAATTCATTTTGATGGAAAAATTGTCAAAGAACTTACTGAAGGAAAACAGTTTTCAAAAGATAGGTTAGCTGTTCTTGCTAGGATTAAAGGACAAACCGAGTTACTAGGAGTTCCAGCTATTGATTCCGGTTCTGGAGAACACCAAAAAGAAGCTATAGAACAGCTCATTTTTAACTTTGGGTTAGATGATTTTGAAACAGCCATTATGAATCTTGATGTTGTGAATGATTGTTCAGAGAGAACAGTCAACTTAGTTCAACAACTTGTTAACAAAGTACATTCCGAAGAGAAATGACAAGATACATTTCTTTTTACACATGTATACAAAGATAAATGGTAATAGAAGAAAAAAGTTGGATCATGCCGAAGCTGCACTAAATACTTTTATTTAATATCAACTTTTTGATTCAATATGTTTTGAAGCAATAGTAAATTTTTTATTTTTGTTTTGAACTGGTAGTATTATTTTTTGTTTATAAAAAAAAATGTAGCGCCTATTGTTTTTAAACAAATATTGTATTATTTTGGTGATTTTCAATGTTTTTTTATAGCTCTTAAAGTTACCTAAATAAATAATTATGAAAAGAGCCCCTAAAACTTGAGTAGAAGAACTCATTACCATGTTATAAAATAGTTCAATTTTTAAATTGGTTGAGATTTAAGGGTCCCACAAGCGGGGCAAAGTTTTCCTTAAAAAGGGGCAAAAATTTTCTGATGTTCAAAAAAATTTTCATAAAAAATTTTAAGTACTAATTTGGAGACAGGGCAGAACATGAGCTAGGGCTCTAATCAAAATTTTGACATTTGAGTTATTGATTAATGTTCAATACTTTTTATTGTTCAATTTATTTATTGCTCAACTTTTTATTGGAAAATTGTAAATTTCTATAAAAAAAGGACAAGCTTATTAATTTTTTTCTTTATTAAGTTTCTACTAAGTTTTTGTTAAACTTTTTCAGATCATCCGCAGCTTATTGAGACCTTGCCTCATTAACTAATTTTGAATCTTATTTCTTATTGTCTCTTTAATATGTGTTACTTCACTAACTACCTGAGTATACTATTAAAGTAAGTATCTCTATTATCACATAGATATATTATATATCACATAGATATATGTTGCGCATATATCTATGTGATATATGCGCAACAAATATCTCTCAGTGTTTTGATGTATTTACAAATTTTTGGCTTTTTTAAAAATTTTAAAGTTGCACTATATAATATCTTTATATATGTTATGTATATAACATCTATAGCATAAGATTCAAAATAATAATAAATGTGCTAGCAAAATAATTTGAACCCTCGCAATACACTCCTGAAGAGTATCGAGCTAACCACTTCAGCCACTTAGACTTACTAATCTGATAATTTTAAACACTATTTAATAAACAAAAAACAATATAACTTTATAAAACAGCAAATAATTGCTAAAAGTCAAACTTAAAGATATATTGCTGCAATTTTCAAGTAAAAGTTAAACTTTAAAACTTGAAATACTTTTTAATATTACATAATTTGAAGTTTACATGAGTTAGATACTTGCATGTTCGCATTTTTATAGAGCAGCAACTCTTGGGGGTAATGGCTGCTTTGAGTTCTGTGTCAAACACTAACGAATGAGCAATAACAAGTTGCTCAATCTTATATATGATATTTCGAAAATAATATTCATTCTACACAAACCTTATTTTTAATTTTAGTGCCTAAAAACTTTTAGAAAAAGTTTTAATTAAAAAAAAAAAATTCAGCTTTTAAAATGTATTTAGAAATGTGTTTTAAAAAAACTTTTTTTTTCTTTTTTTTTTCTTTTTTTTTTTTTATAGTGTTTGTAATAAAAAATTTAAATAAAAACAAGTTAATAAAACCTACCTCTAGCTCTTCAGGAGATAATGCATCATCTTCATCCTAAAAATCATATAGCACTATTACAACGATGTAGAACATTAACCCAAAGATTTGAAAATCTGAAAACAGGTTGAGAACAGAAGAAAACTAAAGTTAAAAAACTTAAATTTCTAAAAAAAAAACTTACCTTATCATACTTAAAAAAAAGTTCCATTACAAAATCAAGACCAGCTGATGATAACTCGAGAGAACAACCTGGATCAATTTCCAAACTAAATATTCATATAATAATCTTCAATTTTTATTAAATGTTACATAATACATACACACACACATGTATGTGTGTATGTATATATACATATGTGTGTATATATATTTGTATATGTATGTATATATATATATATATATATATATATATATATATATATATATATATATATATATATATATATATATACATACACATATATATACATACACATATATATATATACACACACATATATATATACACTTACTAAAGCGTGTTTTGATAAGCATTTGCTCATATATATATATATATATATATATATATATATATATATATATATATATATATATATATATATATATATATATATACATACATATATATACACATACATATATACATATGTGTGTGTATGTATATATATATATATATATATATATATATATATATATATATATATATATATATATATATATATATATATATATATATATATATATATATATATATATATATATATATATATATATATATATATATATATATATATATAGGCCTCGGCAGGAGTAAATGAGCGCAAGAGCAGAGAAAAAGCTCTATTAAAAACAACAAGGCGAGCCATACGAGCTGCTCCTCTAAACTGCATTTTACAGGAGCTTTTGGTTTTTGCACAATCTATCTCTTTATTTATATAAAAGTTGCCTATTAAATACAAAATTTGGTTATATACTTGTTACTAGCTAATGTTTGTAACATTAATGTTACAATAATATACACATAACAAGCGTCATTTATTGCGTCATGAAAAAATAGATGAATAAGGATTTTGGAGCACTTAGGAACAGTCACAGTAAAAAGATGAGACTTAATTGAATGAATTCTAGTAGATGGCACAAGAGACGCTAGCTCTTTAGAGCAGCCCCTGTTACAGTTATTATAGAAAAGAGAAAGAGAAGCAACATTACAACGATGTGATAATGGTTATAGGTTGGCTGTAAGAGCAGAACCAACTGTGTTTACAACACATTTTTGCACCTTATCTAAAAGAGAAAGGGCATTATTTGAAGATCGACTCCAGATATGGCGACAGTATTCCATACAAGAACGGATTAGAGATTTATAGAGATAAAGAATAGAATATGGAGTAAGAGAGTAGCGAGACTAATAGAGGTGCAACCTTAGCAGATGCTAATTTTACAATGGATTTTATATATTGTTTCCAAACAAGATCTGATGTAAGAGTTAATTCAATAAGAGGAAGGGTAGATGACTCATCGAGTATATTACCGCTTATAAACATAGCAAGATCTACATTGTTGCAATAATGATTAGCTGAAAAAAAATGAGTTTTATCTGAATTAAAGTTCACTAGCCACACCAGCCACAACTATTGTGTGAAAATGATAACTTAAAATGGTTCAACTGTTTGTTTATATTTGAATTTTTCCATTCAATGAACAAACTTTCTTTAACTTTAGGCTAGACCAAAGCTCAAGTTTATTGGAGGCAAATGGAATCCAATATTGAAAAAATAATCATTATTATAATCATTAAAACAATTATTGTTATTGTTAATTATTGGAGATTTTGTATATTTGTGAATTTTTGTCTCTCCTGTAGCGTTCAATCATTGAAAGCGTAAAGTAGTTTTTCATGACCTCTTGGTTTTTGGATTGATATTGATTAGTAGAAATAGTTTTTTTGGTAATATAAGAACTATAAATTTTATTTATAATCATGTTGCTTTTGAGAATGTTAAAAAGACTATTAACCTTATAGTAAAAACCAAGTTTAGTATTAACCATTTTATATTAAACAAGTAAAAACTAAGTTTAATATTATTAATTTTAAAGGTCCTATCAATTAAGCATTTAATTAGCCCTTGTGTGAAAAAGAGATGAAATACAAAAGGAGATATCAAGGCCTGAAAATGTTTCCTTATGAAAAATGAAAGTAAGTAAAAAATATTTTGTCAAAATTCCCATCAGAAAAAGATGCATGCAATTTTCTTGACTATATCAATAAAAGACATAATTAAATATCTTTTACGATGGAAAAGAAAAAAGAATCTAAAATTTCTTTCTTTGACATTAATATAAACAAAATAAATAGATTTAATATAAACAAAATAAATAGATTTCATTTTTTTTTTTTTTTTTTGTTGCAACAGTCACCCTATAGCCCTTAGTTTTATATAATTTGGAATAGCCAAACATGAATTTACTGAACTTTCTAATGACCTAATTTTGATATGGCTAATTTTACATCTGTTGCAAGCACTGATTTTCTATTAACTGTCAATTTTTTTTGTTGCAGAGATATGAGTAGATTTTAGTGAAAATCAAGTGTAATGTGATTTCCACTCAAGTGTAATATTAAAGAAGAGTTTTAGAAAATAAAAAGAGTTCTAAAAACTGAAATTACATGTAATATGATTTCCACTAAAATCAAAATTTAACTTATGTAACATAATTTAAATATATAGTGTCAAAATAACACATTTTCTCAAATAGGTCACTTCATATTGAATTACTATATTATGTAAATTTCATATATTTTATATATACTTTTTACATTACACTATAAGTTTCTGCAAGTACTTACTGCTAGTGTTATACTAAGTATCATAGTAACTACAAGTACTTACTGCTAGTGTTATACTAAGTATCATAGTAACTGCAAGTACTTACTGCTAGTGTTATACTAAGTATCATAGTAACTGCAAGTACTTACTGCTAGTGTTATACTAAGTATCATAGTAACTGCAAGTACTTACTGCTAGTATTATACTAAGTATCATAGTAACTGCAAGTACTTACTGCTAGTGTTATACTAAGTATCATAGTAACTGCAAGTATTTACTAGTGTTATACTAAGTATCATGAAAATTAAAATTTAAAGATTTACAAGGATTTACCTAGGATTTAAATAATCATCTCTTAGTTCAAGATCCATATCATATCCAAATCTTCTCAAAGCAGTCCATGTTGTTTCTTGTCTCCCTTTTTGTATGAACAAGTTGTGAAGAAACAAAAAACCTAGTATAAAAAAAAAATTAAAAATATAAATGTACTTTATATAAATAAATATATTACAAGAAAATAACAACTGTTGGCCGACTATTGTCAGCCAACAGTCACAAGCTGCTTGAAATAATTTAAAATTGCTAGTTTGACCTCCCAAAATGAATTCCAGTTGGTCATGGCTGATCGGAAAGAATTCATTTTAGGAGGGTTTTTTGACATTTTATACTGGTTGAAAAAAAAAATCAGAGTTTTTAAAAACAAGGTTGGACAAATAATCAGGATATAACTTGGAAAATGCATGTAAATTAAGGTTGGACAAACAATCAGGATATAACTTGGAAAATGCATGTAAATTAAGGTTGGACAAATAATCAGGATATAACTTGGAAAATGCATGTAAATTAAGGTTGGACAAATAATCAGGATATAACTTGGAAAATCCATGTAAATTAAGGTTGGACAAACAATCAGGATATAACTTGGAAAATGCATGTAAAACAAGGTTGGACAAACAATCAGGATATAACTTGGAAAATACATGTAAATTAAGGTTGGACAAATAATCAGGATATAACTTGGAAAATCCATGTAAATTAAGGTTGGACAAACAATCAGGATATAACTTGGAAAATGCATGTAAAACAAGGTTGGACAAACAATCAGGATATAACTTGGAAAATACATGTAAATTAAGGTTGGACAAATAATCAGGATATAACTTGGAAAATGCATGTAAATTAAGGTTGGACAAACAATCAGGATATAACTTGGAAAATGCATGTAAATTAAGGTTGGACAAATAATCAGGATATAACTTGGAAAATGCATGTAAATTAAGGTTGGACAAATAATCAGGATATAACTTGGAAAATCCATGTAAATTAAGGTTGGACAAACAATCAGGATATAACTTGGAAAATGCATGTAAAACAAGGTTGGACAAACAATCAGGATATAACTTGGAAAATACATGTAAATTAAGGTTGGACAAATAATCAGGATATAACTTGGAAAATCCATGTAAATTAAGGTTGGACAAACAATCAGGATATAACTTGGAAAATGCATGTAAAACAAGGTTGGACAAACAATCAGGATATAACTTGGAAAATACATGTAAATTAAGGTTGGACAAATAATCAGGATATAACTTGGAAAATGCATGTAAATTAAGGTTGGACAAATAATCAGGATATAACTTGGAAAATGCATGTAAATTAAGGTTGGACAAATAATCAGGATATAACTTGGAAAATGCATGTAAAACAAGGTTGGACAAATAATCAGGATATAACTTGGAAAATGCATGTAAAACAAGGTTGGACAAATAATCAGGATATAACTTGGAAAATGCATGTAAATTAAGGTTGGACAAATAATCAGGATATAACTTGGAAAATGCATGTAAATTAAGGTTGGACAAATAATCAGGATATAACTTGGAAAATGCATGTAAAACAAGGTTGGACAAATAATCAGGATATAACTTGGAAAATGCATGTAAAACAAGGTTGGACAAATAATCAGGATATAACTTGGAAAATGCATGTAAATTAAGGTTGGACAAATAATCAGGATATAACTTGGAAAATGCATGTAAATTAAGGTTGGACAAATAATCAGGATATAACTTGGAAAATGCATGTAAATTAAGGTTGGACAAATAATCAGGATATAACTTGGAAAATGCATGTAAAACAAGGTTGGACAAATAATCAGGATATAACTTGGAAAATGCATGTAAAACAAGGTTGGACAAATAATCAGGATATAACTTGGAAAATGCATGTAAATTAAGGTTGGACAAATAATCAGGATATAACTTGGAAAATGCATGTAAATTAAGGTTGGACAAATAATCAGGATATAACTTGGAAAATGCATGTAAAACAAGGTTGGACAAACAATCAGGATATAACTTGGAAAACGCATGTAAAACAAGGTTGGACAAATAATCAGGATATAACTTGGAAAATGCATGTAAAACAAGGTTGGACAAATAATCAGGATATAACTTGGAAAATGCATGTAAAACAAGGTTGGACAAACAATCAGGATATAACTTGGAAAATGCATGTAAATTAAGGTTGGACAAACAATCAGGATATAACTTGGAAAATACATGTAAAACAAGGTTGGACAAATAATCAGGATATAACTTGGAAAATGCATGTAAAACAAGGTTGGACAAATAATCAGGATATAACTTGGAAAATGCATGTAAAACAAGGTTGGACAAATAATCAGGATATAACTTGGAAAATGCATGTAAAACAAGGTTGGACAAATAATCAAATAATATAATAATTACTGTACTTAACTAAGAACATTTTTTCTTTAAACTGTATTCAGTAATTTTGTTTTTTGTTTCTTTTTAAATCTTAAATTTTATTTTCTCGTAAGTTTTTGTAAATTACAAGAAAATAAAATTATTTCTCGTAATTTACAAAACCTTACGAGAAAATAAAATTTAAGATTTAAAATAAAAGGTAATTATCATTTTTTTAATCATCATTTTAATCAATTATGTTTATCTTGTTTATAAAATTCTTCATTGATATAAAGGCACTTCTTTGAATACATGAATTTACCAATAGACGTAACCATGTGTTACTTTAGTTATGCTAAGGAAAACTATTTTATTTATGATTTTAATAAATGCTTTTGTCACAAATACTACGCTATATGTAAATAACTGTTGAAAATTGTTTAAAGTATTTTAAACATTTAGTAACTACATTTTATTAAATTTAACTTTAGTTATTGTTTAAATAATTAGTAATTAAATGTTTAAATATTTTAAACAATTTTTAATCAATATTTACAAATCGCGTAATATTTTAAAACTAACATAATAGTAGTTATTTTTTTTCTTAATGTTTTTTAATAAAATATTTAAAATAAAAATTATCTATATATATTTTTTATCGGTATAGAATCACTCGGTAGGAATATGATAATTCCTGTAACTTTTACGATCATTATCATAGGTTTAATATTAGTCATTATTTTCAAAAATTTAATTTTTATTAAGCTTTTATAATAACTATTTACAATTGTCTTAAATTTAAATGATTTTATATTTTTTCATTAATTTTATCATTACCCAATCATATTCTTCTATTTTTAGTTGTTTTTGTCATTGGTTTACTTATTTGCCTACAGTTGAAGAATTGTTTTAATTTAGTAAATATATAAAACAATAAAAATACAAGTAAGCAATAATTTAGCAAAACACTATTTTAAAAAGGTAAAAAAAAAAATAAGAACCTTCTAATGTAACACCAGTATCTGTTACTCCTTCCTTCATATTTTTTTTAATGATATTTTTAACCTCTTGTAAGCCTTGTTGAGGTAAAGAGTTTTTAAAACAACGTTTCTAAAAAAGAGTTTTTTTAATATTTTGTAATGTAAAAATGTCCGTTAAATAAATAACATATAATTAAAATAAAAAACTTCTGAGGTTATGTATAAAAAAATACCTGAGCTTATGAGTTTTTATTATTTTATAAATTTTTTATAAGTATTTTTTAAACACTACAACTGTTTTGTTTGTTTGTTTTTTCACTGATTATCAACAACTGTGTTTATCTGTATGTATTGCTTAATTAAATTTACTATAGCTTAATAAATTTCAAGTTATTGTGATGTCAAAATCTGAACTTACCTGAAACTCATTTAATTCGACATCATTAAGAAAACCATCGTTGTCTAAATCACATATCTAAAATAAATAATATATTTTATACTTCAACTAATATATGATTCAATCCACTTTTAATCTTGTTAAAAAAACAAAAGTCGATTCTTTATTAATAAAAATGATTTGTATAAAATCTGAACATCAGCATTAAAATGCAGACTTTAGCTTCAAAATTCAGCTTTTAATTTTAAAATTCAGATTGTATTTTCAGAAGAAAAAATAAATAAAAATACTAAAAAGTGAATAGAAGAAAAAAATCCCATTGACAATATCTAATTAAAATAGTAAAAACAGTCATCTATAGGACATCAGTAAATTAACTGAGAGTTTATTATGTAGTATTAATTAGTATTTAAGCAGGTAATACCTAGATATGTAGATAGACTTTTACTATGACAATGACACTTAATGATAAATAACAACATAGCAATGATAGATCGTAGCAACAATGATAGATAGTAACAACAATGATAGATAACAACATTGCAATTATAGATAATAACAACAATTATAGATAACAACATAGCAATTATAGATATTAACAACAATAATAGATAACAAAAACAACATAGCAATAATAGATAACGAAAATAATGATTGGTAATAACAACAATTATAGATAACAACAACAATGATAAATAACAACAGCAACATAGCAATGATATATAACAACAATAAATAAAAACAGCAATGGTAGATAATAACAAAAATAATAAATAAAAGCAACAACATAGTAATAATAGATAATAACAATGATAGATATTAACAACAATAATAAATAACAACAACAATGATAGATAACAACAACATGGCAATGAAAGATAACAACAACATAGTAATGATAGATACAACAATGATAGATATTAACAACAATAATAGATAACAACAACATGGCAATGATAGATAACTACAACAAAAACAGTAGAATCCAAAAGTTTAAAAATAAATTATAACTTGAAATAATTTAAATTATTTTTTGAAAAGTTTTATGAGCAAAAGCTAAAAATAATTTATACTATTAGAAGTCTTCACAAAATTTCACTGCTTTTGCAATATTTCAAAGCAATTTAGTTATTAAATTTCAATTATGTTTTTGCTTTTAATTATGTTTTTAGATACAAAAACTTGATTGCAGAGTACTATATCTAAACTTTTGTATGGAAGAATTTTAAGAAAAAAATCAAAAAAATATGCTATAAGATTTATCTTTAAGTCTAAACATACAAACAACTTCAAAAATATTTAGAAAATTTTACCTTAAATATTCTAATTAAACCCTTCTCACACTTTTCTGTAATCTGAAAACAAAAGTTCTCTTTTAATTTTCTTTCAATTTTAAGTTTTTACTTTAAAGTGCAACAGAAACAAAATATTTAAAAACATACTCTTTGCTCATCGTGAGAATATATAGGAGCAGTGGGATGTAAAACAGCTTTCTGAGCATAATAGAATAGCTCAGATATGTTCTTTAGATCACTAGCTGAGCACTAAAACAAAAAATTTTATTCAACTATTTTAAAATTTGATCTTGAGTGTCCAGTATAAAGTTAGATTTATATTTATTTCTCATTTGGACAATTAAAATAATTTTTATGCCTTGCACCACTACCACATATAACTAATGTTTGTCTGGTTGCCCTGGCAGCATTGTCAGACAACTGAATACTACTTTTTTATTCTTCAGTTTCCTTTAAGAGGACAAAAGATTCAGACAATATTTAAATACTGATTTTGGGTGCCTACTTTTTAAGTAAACAAAATAAGTAAATACCTCAATACATGTTTCAACTTCAGGATACTCATCCATAATGGCAAGTACATCATTCATCCGTGAACCTTCTAGCTCAGCAAGATCTGATTTGTTGCCTACTAAAACAACAGGTTTTCTTCTGTCTCCACAAACATCAAAAACAATTGGTAACCAATAGGAAGTAATCTATATTATTAAAAAAAAATTAGTGCTATCCAAACAATAAAATAATTAAATAAGAAATTTTTCTTTCAAATAAGCTATAAATTATATTGCTTTAGTAAAAAATTATATTGCTTTAGTTAAAATGTACATTTTAACTTTTAGTAAAAATACTAGAAAACTAACAGGTGTTAGTTCCTTAAAACTGGAACTCTTTTCCTATAATCATTTTTAAATGAAAAATAATACTATGATCAGTTAAAATTCCAAACATTTTAAAATTGAATTTCCTCAAAAATGACTAAATTAATTCTAAGAATACTTTTTATTATGATGGATTCATAATTAGTTGTTTGTGTGCGTGTGTAGTTTTGTATACATCTAATTAAGTTTTGGAATATTAAAACTGTATATAAAAAATAATTTTAAAAATTTTAGAAATAAAGTCCTATATCAACTTTTTGAATTTTCATAAAATGTTGCAAGGAGAATAAAACTATAAACAGAAAACCAAGAAGTAGTGGAAAATCAAGATTTATTGATAAAAAAGAAGGCAGAATTAGTATTCGATTTAATTTTTAAAAAACTTTTTGTTACAAATAATTTAGTTACAAAGTTTGAACGCTGTAAACCTTTCATTCAAAGAGTTTGAAAAAAAAATTATCTGAAAGCATATTAAAAGCAAAAAAATACAAAAAAAATCACTTTATAGAGAAATCAAGGGAAATCCAACAAGCTATAAATTTGCTTAAACTAGCGAGAGAGAAAAAATTGTGCATTTTAGAAGAGGATGAAACTTACAGTAAAAAAGATGAATCAATATTTCCAGGTAATCAATATCAGGTGTTGAAAACATAAAAAAAGTTTTTGAAACTACATTTATGAGATCTTTAAAGTGAGATCTACGCCATTGAATGCTACAAAAAAATCTACGCCATCTACAATCTACGCCATCTACAATCTACGCCAATCTGATATATATTATAGAGTAATATTCTACTGAACTATTTATTCAAATTTAATTGATGATTTTTTTCCTTTTTGAACAAGGGATTTTAACTTGTTTATTAGATTCTCTTTGAGTTTGTGAATATTTAACTTTTATTTTACTTATAAAAGAATCTCATACCTCATTCATACCAACAATAAAACAGGTTTTAATGGTAGTATTTTAAAGGCAAAACTAAATTTTTTCATTCGCATCAAATTATGGAACTGGTTATAATTTCTTGCACAAAGCTATCTAAATATTACAACCTTATGATGCTGTTTTAATATATACATAAATAAACTACCTTTTAAGACAAGATTAAGAGGTAGTGTATTTATGTGCAAGTTTTGCATGAATGGGGTAATATTCTGAAATTAAGTGTAACCAGATAATAAAATAAGTTCACAGGTGCTTTGGATATTTTATTAAGGATAACTACAAAGTTCAACTACAAAACGTATTTCAAACAACTTTAAAAATGAGAGAAGAAATTTTCCATAAACCACACCCATTTCCACCACACTAGAGTTTATGATAAGATTCAGTGCATGCTTTTGGATTCTGGAAAAAAAAGTTCAATTTTACCAGTGTAAAGTGTTGCAGAAATAGTTGCTTTATATATTTTTAATAATTATTGTTTATAAATGTTTTAATAAAAGAGTGTGAGTCCTCCTCTGCATTGGTTTTTAGACCCAATGCAGAAGACTTTTAAACACATACCTTTACATTTAAAGTTTGATCAAATGAACTACACCACAAGTTTCAATAGGAGATAATTCAGATCTTTTATAAATTGTTAAGGTTTTTTGCATGAGTATCAATTGCCTTAAAAATGATTTTCTTTTAAATGTGTGGCTTTATTTGATCTTATTTGCTGCCCATAATTACTGATATTAGCTTTTGTGACTACTTTTAAAATATTTAAGTAATTTAATCATTAAATCAGAGCATCATATCATTT